CAACAAATGTGTATCGTTTTCTAAGGGTTTTGATGATTTTATATATCATATTTTTATTTAGGCACGGAAAATTTATAAGAACTTTAGTTAATTTACTGATACTATCAATACATAAATCTTTTATGAACAAAGTTTATTTCTGGTATAAATTTAGGGGAAAGTTTACGCATTTTAAACTTTTCATTCGTTAAAAAGGGTCAGCGTAGCGTATGAGTGTTATTAAATGACTATTCACTACAGGGTTGTCGAAGCAACCTGTGTATATCAAAAATTCATTTACATAATTAATAAATTTAATTTAAAACTTAAAACAAATTTTAACAATCGTCTTAATAAAAATAAAAGGCACGCCGTTTATTTTTATTAAACAAAAATCTTTTAAAATGTATTATTTAAATGTGTGCAGTATTAGTTAAAATGTAAGATAACAGAAACATAAAATAAATATCGTTTATTTTATTTAAGAAGACTATTAATAAAAAGGTTCTCGAAAAATAGTGAACAAAAATATAATAATATAATATAATTATTTTAATTAATTATATTTTTGCCTAACCATACAGCTGTTTCGAGTATTGTCAAATACCATACCCATGATCAGTGGTCTTGGAAATAATGCTTGTATTTAATTATTCGTAAATAGTTTTTGAGACTACAAGTACCAGGAATCGAACTCGTCTCCTGCCAAATATGACACTCAGAATCAGCGCATCTTAACCAACTGATCCAAAAGCCGTACTTGACTTTTATGTTCGCAAATTTTTCTGGAGTTTTGTTAATTTGCTGTGAAAGTTTTTATTAACAAAGTCACTTGTTGTATTTATATTAGAACGAAATCATAAAACAGCTGTAGAATTAACAAAGTCACTTGCTGTATTTATATTAGAACGAAATCACAAACAGCAGTAGAACAATTGAATTAATTAATTATATTTGTTAAATAAATTTTAAGTGAATTTTTTTATAAAGAGGTTTTTTCGAACAGTAGTGAAATACAACAACAAAAATTTATTTTTTTTTATATAATATTTTAATTAATTGAATTTTTGGCTGACCATACAGCTGTTTCAAGTATTGCCAAATACCCATCATCAGTGATCTTGGAAATAATTCTTGTATTTAATTATTCGTAAATAATTATATTTTGAGACTGCAAGTACCAGGAATCGAACTCGGGTCCTGCCAAATGTGAAGCTCAGAATCAGCGCACCTTAACCAACTGATCCAAAGCCGTACTTGACTTTTTTGTTCGGATATTTTTCTGGAGTTTTGTTAATTTGCTGTTAAAGTTTTTATTAACAATTTTACTTGCTGTGTTTATATTAGAACGAAATCATAAACCAGCTGTAGAATAATTGAATTAATTAATTAATTATAATTTTATTTTCAATTGTTAAATTTCAATACTATTCTGTTCGTAGAAGCATTATTTGTTGTATGATTTGTTCTTTCTTATGTATAGAACCTAATCTAGGAACGTACTGCTGAGAAAGACATACTAATGTTACTCCACTAGTCGCACGGACAAGACCAATATTTTGTGAATATAAGTTGTAATTAAACGTCAAATATTCCAGACGAAAGTGACTATTATTTTTAATAGCAAACTTGTTATATTTCATAAAAAGGTTTTTAGTTTATTTTTTATCTTTGAAAACTTTACCTACTATTAAAGAAAAATGCTAAATTCGTCTTCAGGGACTATAGACTATAGTCAAAAGATCAGCATCAGTAAACTATATTTTTAAAACTAATTTAAAATATGGTGTATTATTTAACAATAACCAATTAGCCTGTTCAAAAATATATAAATAAAATTAATAATTAAAACAATAAATTATAGAAAACGATCACTTAATATTACAGCAAATAAGAATTAATGAGTTCTTATCGGAAAATTTTTATTAAAATTTGAAGATACAATTTGCACGTAGAGTAAAAGTCTGTCTTTATTTCTCGAGTCGAAAAATAAGCATATTATATAAATTAAATCATTAATAATATATAATATAGCGTAAGCAGATTTTTAATATAGAATTTAATATCTCAGTGATTCTAAATGTACATCAAAGTGTATATAAATTTAAGCTCCTATGCAAATCAAAGAAAATAAAAATTTTTGAAGTGTAGTTAGTTTTAGGCAGATAAAAGTTAATGACGTTCTGAATTTATAATGGTGCAGATCTCCGTCATCATTGTAAATCTTTCATATACTTGGAATGTAGACCAGAATATCTTATGTTGAGGATTTTATAATATATATACATTGAATGTAAACCAGAAAATCTTATGTTGAAGATTTTATAATATATATACACTGAATGTTGACCAGAATGTTAAAGATTTTCCTCCTGGCAATCAGCATTGTAATAAAGGGCAAAATATCTCTCTTTAAGGATTTTTTAATATTAAAAAAAGACAGACCGAATAAAGGCGTATAGACTACCTACAACCTCAATAAACCCATTTTGTTGAGATTATAACGTTCTTACGAGATTTGATATCATAAACATCATTGTTGAAATTCAAAAACTGATGAATAATATTGATATTACCCACCTATTTCCTATAACAGGTAGGAGCACTTTAAAAATACTGTTCCTACATGTTAGATTAAACTTATTTACAATAACTGTTTAACAAAAATACACAGATCAGTGAAATGTTCTTTATTTCAATATTAAACTTGATAGTTATGACTACGTGTGGTAATAATAATCTTAGATCTATTCAATAAATTTTTAAGACACTATAAAATAAACCATTATAACTTTCGTCATCAATTAATAAAAACTTTGCAAAATTTCTTCAAAGTTTTATTGTTGATTTTTTAACAAAAGCTTTATAGTTAACAAAGAAAGTAGCACGGATTTAATAGATCGCATTATCTGTAACCAATTATTAACTTCATGTAGTTAACATTTTTTTTTAATTTTGTGTCTATTCTGGTATTAATTTTTGTTTTTTAACATACCGAAAGTTATGGTTGTAATAGCATAGTCTATTTGTCTAGTCTTCTTCATATCTACACGGATATAGAAAAATTGATACTTAATAAAATTCTGTTATTATGATAGAACAATGTCTATAAAATGAATAAATAACTACAAAACTTTAAATGACACCTATACAGACTAGCTCATAGTGAAATCATATTTAGCTTTAATATATTTTTATCTATAACTTTAAATTTTATATAATATAAACATATTGTAAATACTTAATAAGAAATATTCAGCGTATTGTTTGTTAATTATTTCAGAGGCAATTCCATCGCAATTTTTAAAAGTTTCACAATTAAAGTTTTTTTTAATTTAAGTTTTTCAAATTTTAAATGAAATAACTAGTTTTAAATAAAGTTTTATACAATTATTTCTATAATTCTAAAATTAAATACCAAAAAATTATTGTTCATTAATTCTGAGAATATATACCTCTGTAATTGAGCATTGTTATTGGTGTCCCATAACAAAATAAACACATTTCAGAAAATGAATTATAATGACATGTTGAATTGCCGACTGATTATGCCTATTACATTTATATTACTTTCTTTTTAAAAAAATAATAAAAATCAAACATTCACACACAATTATTGCAAGTTTAATTGAGTATTCAATGTGTCCTTAAACCTTTATAGAACCATTAACAAGTATAGACTTTTATACAACGTTCACTTGGCACAAAATTCAAGTGCTCACTCCTTATTTGTTCATTGTTATTTTTGCTTTTCTATATACTAAGTAAGCGTAATGAAATAGTAACTGACATCATTAAGCCAAATTAAACGTCATTAATTCGTTGTAAAATGCAAACGACTATAACCGACAAAGTATTACCTCCCACAACCCATTTTTCACTCTGACTTTGTTAGCAATGGCACTCGCAAAACGTTGCTGCTAACATTACGCTGCGTCATCACTTTCACTTGACTGCCACTGGCAATAAGACTCATACGCCCAACCAACTTTTTTTGCCTTCAGTCAGTCAGTCATACTCTAATTTCATTTTTTTTATAACTAGTATTCCACAAATGTCAGTAGAATATTAACTCGCGTGTTACCCTACTTTAACAATGAGTCACTGTACTCCAGTATTTAACGTTTTTTTGTTTTTATTGTGTCAACAAGCGACTACACAGCACCCACCTCCGTTGGATGAGTCAAGCGACTGAATACAACCACCTGCTCTCAAAGAGAGCACTATTGGGTGGCATTAACAGTGTTATATATTAAACCAACATCTACGCCCAACTATCTACTTAGTAACGACCCATCCTAGCAGTTGTGTGCTGTCAGTGTTTTGTTTGGTGATTAAAAGTTTTATCCAACGTAGTTACTTGGCCTCATTCTCATTGTAGCTTCTTTAGTTATTTATTGTTGTAATTGTGGATGTTGCTTTTGTTGTCGACAGTCATTTTATGCTTTACTTTTATTGACCTCATAACCTCGGTTGGTCGCTCCATCTTCTATGCACTTTAACCCACATAACAATTTTACTTTGGCATAAATCTTTATTGGTTTTAAAAGATCTTATTAATTCGCAATCACGTTTATCGCGATAAACGTTGGGTTGTACGTTTTCCAGATTTCATACTGAATTGATTTGTTATGGTGTGCGATTATTTGTGATGACATCAGCACATGTAAGGAACTGGGTCAATGTGGTAATAATAATCCTACGCGAATCACATATACAATTTCCAACCAATTTTATTGAATAATACAAAACTTTGTTTTGCAGTTTTTTTTTTAGTTTTAAGTTAAACAGTATTGTGTACTTTAATTAAGGAAATAAAATTTCATTGTTTACAATCAGCAGCAGCGATTCCACATATATAGTATATGACATTTCAATACAAGATCTTTACGTCAAGTACAATTCAATATTTATTGAATAGCAGTGAAGTACTGAGATGTTAACTCGTTAATTTTTAAACTAAATGCAAAGGTTCACTTGAACTTTTGCATATAAACATAAAATAAAATAAAATAAATGAATCAAAATCAAAAATAAAAAGTGAAAAAAACACGGAAATAAAATGTCAAATACCAAAACTCGAATTATTTTGGTACGCGCAATACAGAGTCCTTGGAATAAGCCAAGCGTTAAACGTGACACAAATCGTAAAATCCAACTGAAAGATACTCATGCAATTCGTGCAGCCAAGAACCAAAAAATCCAAAAGACAAACCCAACAGAAGCGCACATCAGCATGAAATTTATGTAAAGGCTAAACTCATATTCCATAAAGGCAGAAACAGAAGCAGAAGCAGAAGCAGAAGAAACAGTAGTGCAGTAGTAAATATTAAGCATTTGAGCCCAGCAGAAGGATAAAGCATACAAAATATATTAAAACACATAAAATTGGTCTCTGTGAGACGAGAAGGCACGTTATCGGCATGGGAGACCTGCAAGCAACAATTGAATTTTCGGTCGAGCTCTATAAATTCTTTAATGTGGACTTATTTCAAAGGGGGTAAGTATATTGCATGCTTTTATTTACTTATTGTCGTAGTTCTTGATTTGTGCAAGTTCACAATGCTTTTGTCTACTTTAACGCGGCAATAAAAATTGCATAATTTATGAAACAATATGCTTTAAGCTTGGAAGGAACTCTTGTGCCTCATGCATTCCTGAATGCAATTGTTGGGTATAATGGAAAAATTTTTAGGTGTGGTTATGGTTAAGCACACAGAAGTTGTCAGTCATGTTCTGGGAAGGATAAACTTGAGTTTCTAGAGGAAAGCAGGAAATAGTTTAAATGAAATTGTCCTTTATAAGTTGCATTTATAGCAACTGGGCGTGTTGCATAGTATACTGATATTTTTATTATACACATATTCTTACCCTTTGTTTAATCTAGTAGTAATGATTTATTTATTTAAAAAACAATATCTACAAACTTAGACAAGCAATTTCAGATATTAAATAAAGGAATTTTCGTTTCTAAAGCCATATATTGGATATGTGAAATGTCTGACATAAAAAAATAAAAAAGTAAATTAATTTTCTTGTATGGATCAAATTAATTCCATCAAATGCGATGGAATAATGACAGTATTATTTGTTATCCAAATGATAGATTGTAGATGATAAACAAAATATTTTATGCGAATAATTTTTCCTCTCTGAAAATACCCTCTACATATCCCAGAAAAAAAGGTAAAATGTTTTTCCAATATAACATTTATAAAGAAAAGGCTAAAAATTATTCTGTCAATTGGTTATAGTAAAAAGGTGTAGTAAAAAAAATCCATTATTTTTGCATGAAATTGAAGGCTTAGTTGAAATTCGAATTAGGTCAAATATGCGCCATTTTGTTCGATAATTATTTGCCATTTCGAAAATAATTTTATTATGAACTCTCATAGAAGTCCTTGTCCCTATTGACAAAAAAATGAGACAGTCAATTTTCATAAGCTACTCTTGAAGCAAATTTTTCACCAGAAATTCGTTTGCTATGAACAGGAACAAATAATAATCACTTGGGGGTAGGTCTGAACTATAAGGTGGATGCATAAAAAATTCCCAACCAAGTTCCCGGGTTCCCAAGTTTTTCGAGTCATTATCTATGTGTGTGACCTGGCGTTGTCCTGATAGAGCACAATTCTTTTCCTATTGCCCAAAGCTGCTTCTCCTATTGGGCGATTTCTTCCTTCAGATGGTTCAACTGTTGACAGTAGAATTCATTGACAGAGTTTAGAGTTTTAGCGTGGTGGAGCAGCTCATAGTAGATCATTTTGCTGTCAATCCCACCACACCCATAACAAAACTTTCCTGACCGTCAATCCTGGCTTTGCCACCTTTTCGGCCAGCTCATCACGGTCCGACTACGATGTTTTCAATTGACGTTGTCATAAGTGATCCACTTTTCATCACCAGTCACTAACCGCTTCGGAATTGGTTCGATTTTGTTGCGATTGAGCAGCGATTCGCAGATGATAGTTCGCTCCATGAGGTTGTTTTGTGTTAATTTTTTTGGCACACATGCATGGAGCTTCTTTTTATATTCAACCTTATTCAAATGACTCAAGTTCTAAACAGTTTTTTATGCTATCTTTAGCTTTTAAGTAATCGAAACAGTGCTTACATGACTATCGGATTTGAGAATTTTCATGATTATAGTTGATACTGTAAAGAACATAAACACTATTCACATTTTCAGCAGTCTGGCTTATGTTTTCGCTTTTATCATAGAAAAACTGTCGTATTTTCTCTCTACTAGTGTCCATCTTTAAGACGTGCTTAAACAAAACTGAGTTTACTAATTACCAAACCATCAAAACTTTTTTAGTACGAAATCATCTTTCATCTTTCCAAAGCTATGTAGCATAACCCGCTCGGAGTTATGCAACTCGTGTTCCAGATCAAATATTCTGTCTTCATATTGGAAGTAAGATTTCCTTGAGAGTTTTGTAAGTTGATTTTTGAGATATCCACTTTTTGCTTTAATGTAAATATTTATATTTTCAAGGATATTAATAGTGTGATTTAAAATCTAAGTAAGACAGGAAGATAAAATGATACCATTAAATTTACTAATTTATATCCTAGCAAAAAACCTAAAGATAACAGAAAGAAAATAAATTCATTTAATAAAAAATAACATTAGTAAACGATAAATGAAAAAGAAATATATATTGTATCTATATATAAAAATTAAAGGCACTCGATTGTATCTAAAAATACTTAATATAATGAAAAATATTTAAAAAACTTCGACACTTTTTCATTTCTTAATTAATTCAAAAATAATTTTTTCAGCAATTACATATGAAATGAAAAACAGCTAATAAATGTAATTATTGTTATTGTACAATTTAAAAAGCTCTATTTAAATATTTAAAATATACTGAACTCATATTGCTATTGGATATAAAACATATTGGTATAATTTATATAGAATCATTAATTTTTGTTTATAGAACAAGAACAAAATCTGAATTATTTTATTAAATAAATTTCGAACTCATAAGCGCCCAGTCACACCGCATCATTTTTAAACAAAGTTGGCAGAAATATTTTAATGGGAATCACTTGACTGCAACCACAAGTGTGTGCGGCAGAGAAATCTCAAATTCTTGAAAAACACCGTTTGGATAAATATTAAATGTTGAACCAGATTTGTGCCAATAAATAATAAACAGTATATAAAAATATGAATATATGTATAACAAATTGAGTTGCTAATAGTTCAACCTAACGTGCCCAACCACTTTGAACCACGTTGAAATGATTTATAAATAAATCTAGTGACGATTATTAAACTTAAAACAAAAATAAGGTTAAGGGCAGATTCTTATTTCGTTTTTTGGTTTATTATTAACCCAAAACAGATTCTTAAAATGTAACATGTGGTAAAAAATCATTTAAAATATTTAAAGATATTATGGTAATGAACAGAGAATCTTTAATTTAATATAAAACAAAAAAATTCTTTACATATCTGCGTGTACTGCAAAAGTACATGTCTTGATATATCATTCAGCAAGTGAAAATATTTAAATTTTCTAATTAGTTACTTTAATCAATATTTTTGTGAAAGTAAAAGGAATACCTATCTATATAAAATATGGAAATATCCATTTTCTTTTCTATAAATAAAACATATTACTTATTAACAATTCTACCAAAGTTGTATTTCAATATGTGGTTTAGACCTTGTCATTAGGTGTCGAACATAATATTATTCAAATATTTTTAATAGGACATCTTATAGTACCGGATCCTTTCAAGTATTATTGAAGATTGTCTGTAAAAACACATATTTTGTGTAACCCCACAAAAAAGTGGGGTTATCACTCTCAGCAGAGACAAATCGTATGATCTTGGTGGACAATTCATTTGATCCCATGATCTTGGGAAACCATTTATATAATCAAAAACGTGAAATTACATGTTTGTGAAACGTATTGATCTGAATAGTAATTGCCCTATATACGTAAATTTTGTTTGTTGGCGTACCCATTAAACCTAATGAGCCTCATCACTAAAGAAAATTCGATATAAAATGATTTTATTACAGAATCATCAGTTTTGTAGCAGTGATTAAATTAGTTATTTAGTGATTAAATTAAATATATGATACCTTGAATGACTGTTCTATTCGAGATATGTACTTAAGCAATGCACTTGTATCGCATCAGTACCATAGCATTGATGTATGACATTAATTACGATGAATTTCATTGTACTGCTGGTTTATGATTGTGACAGTCTGTCTCATGAATTCAGATTCAATTAGCTCCTAAGACCTCTAAATTCTCTAGGCAATAAGAAATTTCAGTTAGGTAGACACTTTTAGATAATCCTGTTTCATATGTAAGTTTATAACATACTATAGATGGTTTTAAGAAGGACACTAATTAATATACTTTAGATAAATATAAAATATGTTGACTTACTGTAAGCAATTTTAGTAAAAGATGGACTTATTCTACACCAGGAAAAAACTGTATAATTTTAATAAAATATGCAATATATTTACTGCAAGCACTGAAAACATTGATTAAAGATTTAGGTTAGGTTGTATAATATAATTGATCCTACGAATACACTTAAACCTATTGGTCTATTGTGTTGCTGAATAAAAACTAAGAGCTTTAAAAAACTCCTTGAATCTTCTGCAAAGCCGGGAATGTCCATTTGAGAAAGGTAATCTGGAGTTCTTGGAGCTAATCAAGATCCTCAAAAAAATAGTTAACAGTTAATCGTCGCCGCGTATGTGCTGGAAATTTAAAGAAATGGGAACCTATTGGGGATAAATACCTTATGACTAGAGCTGACCAATTCTGTTTTTGGTCTATAGTTAGCAGAGTACTTTTTATGAGTAACCATTGCATGAAAATCAATTTTAAATAAAAATTTATTTTATTAAGCTATTTTATAACGATTGCTACAAGAAAGTACAAAGTATCATTGAACTTGCGTAATTAAATAACGATTAATTGAAAACAGACAATCAATTGTTGTTGTTGTAGCTGGGACCTGCTTTTGAAGTCCCTTTTGGAGGGTATCGAACGGCATTTGGTTGTCAATAGCGACGAGTGACTCTCAGACGTAGACCCGGTCGTTCTTGAAACTGTTAGATTAATTAGATCAATTTATCTTACATTGTTATCAAATATATAAACAATATATTAGATAACAAATGCCAATTTTTTAAAAAAAATGTACTTATTTTTTATAATTATAATAGTTTACTGTCAAAAATTTCTGCAGATAAGATCTACATATACTACAGTGAAATTTTCCATAGAACCCGAACATCATAACTAATTTTTTTTTAAATGCTGTTTTTTTTTTTTTATTTGTAAAAAACTGTTGTATTTGTTTCATATAGTATTGATTATCAAATTAAAGCTAAAACGTTTACGAATATTTTAAGCTACATAGTGTCAATGTGACTTTTTAATTGCTATGCTTAAAAATATGCAGATGAAATATTTTTGAGGTTTTTTAAATTTTTCGATTTTAAATGTGATGGAACTTCAACAGAAATATTAACAAAAAAATTTTTTTAATTGATGTCAAAGATTGTTTTAATCAGTGGACGAAAATAAACTGTTCATTCAGTAAACGTACTACACAAACGCTTGTTAGCACTCCCCCAAGCTACAAATAATACAGCACGTAGACTTGAGCTAGACCTTGTGAAAATTTCATATAGAGTTTTCAAACGCGCAATCGATTTCATTATACGAATTCTTCAAATTCTTCAATCAATATACCTCAAACAATATCGTCTTCATTTATCTACACGTTTATAATCCGTCTACAAATGAATTTAATTAAGTTACACAATTTAACGACTTCCTTCAAGTGATAAATATGACAAACTTCTGGAAAACACCGGCTGCAGCAACTTGGATTAAAAACCGAACTACGGCCCTGGAACGCTATCAAAGACATCTAAAATTTAAAGACATTGTCAAAGCCACCTACTCACAATCCATGAATTGCAATATATTGAGAGTCCTTGATGACAAACCCACCTTTTACCACTTTGATCGTAAGCAATTTTTTATGGCAAGGTTTTCGCCCAATTGCAGTTGTCAACAACTCATTGCACTCGTTTTTGTATTAACGGGCAAATTCACAAACTCGAAATCAACAAGCTATGTACACTTTGTAACATACAAAAAAAAGAAACGTTGAATCACTTTATGTTTGAGTGCCCTATTTACTTCTTAGTACGAAGTCACCATCTTAGATTCATAGTAGCAGTCTTCAGAGACAATAAATCTTTAATTTTCAACTCCACTGATCCACAATTAACTAAGGCATTTTACTCATATATACTTAAAAGTTTTAAAATCAGATCATTTATTATAAACGAATAAGATTTGCTTTTCCCTGAAATTGTTTTTATAGATACTTATAAATATATATATATATATATATATATATTTTCCTACTAATTCTATACTTCTTTGTTCTTATCGCTTATCTTTTTAACCTAGCTATAAGTAAACACCAAACCTCCTTCTATTACAACTTTAAGAATTGAATTCAATTGAATACTAAGAGAACACTAAAAAACAATAACTTCCGTAAAAGATCGCTAAAAAATTAATCAGTAACCATCATGCAGAGATAGTTAAAAAAATCACTACAATCAGGAATTGAACACAGCGTGAAAATCAAACAAACCGAACTTATTTAGCATGAGATGTCGGAAACAGTACACTATTTTAGTGTTTCGGACATGTCCCTTTGATTTTTTAGTGTACTGTTTCGGACATAAGCAGTACACTACAATACTGCACACATTATTTTTGTTCACTAGTTTTAATGCAAATGTTTTGAATAGCAGAACATAAAAATCGAATAAAAATTTCAAAAGTTGTATTCGATTTTCCAAATTTGCCCAAAATATTGACTTCTATTAACAAGTCAAACTAATATATATAGAAAAATCTATTTTTTGAAATTATTATGAAATTATTTTTTAAATTTTGAGTGTTCAGTTTAGTGTAAAATTTCAAAACAAAAAATTACTACTACCACAATTAATAATACAATAAATAACAATAAAATTTAAAGAAATAATTAAAGAAAGTTGTGAATTATTAATAGTTAAATAAAAAAACATTGGTTTTTCAAATTAAATAAACTTTCAAAACCCTATTGCCCAAAAATACCAAAATATAAATTAATTTGAACAATCTATTTTTATTGCATTTATAAAAAAAGATCAAAAAAGATTTTAATTAAAAAATTTTAAAATGTCGAATACAACAATTTTTTGTTGTGGCACTAATAGCTGCTCTAATTGAAATGACCCACTAATTCCTTAAGTGATATTTTTCTTTTTAGTCCACAAATTTTTTTATCATTGTTGTGTCCGATTTTTTTATTATTTATTTGAAATGAATATTTGCATAAACTCGTATATCACATATCCACAGGAAAGTTTCCAAAAAAAAAAAATAGCTGCGTATGTCAGTAGAGCAGAGTTGCTGGCAGCTGTCGACCGAAATGTCAACAGAATTAAAAATGCCTTTTCCGTTTTAACGTGATAAAAACAGGAAGACCAAGAAGTAAAATTCGAACAATTGAACATTTTACATATTGACAAATGTTAGTTTTTTAGTTCTGTGGCACTATTGTGATTGAATTGAATCTCTACACCATGTCCGCAATGTAATGTGATTTTATTTTGATATATTCAATCGAATATGCATGCTTTTGTTTAACTTAAAAAATATGCCAGATATATAATGCTAAATATTGATAACTCTATTTTGCAGCTTGTATCAAGTTCGCTGCGCTTTGCGTGTTGCACCAAGGCTACCGGTGCAAGTGGAGACCAGCATACCAGAATCTAACAATCAAAATCAGTCACAATCATTAACAAATGGCGAACTTATCGGTGATGCCGACCTGCAACAGCAGTCACAAAATCAGCCACCAAACTGTACAATGCCTGGATCTGCATACATAATTAACGGCTGTGGTGCCTCACGTGTATTTCAGATACTTTATCGCAACGAAGAGGTGACGTTGCGCGATGTCATACACTTTCGTACGCATTTATTAGGTAAGTACTTTGATTGAAATTGCATTCATTGAAAATGATTAAAAACATTGTCTTGCAAACGTGGCATTGAGACAATATAGCATCTGATTGAGTTCAGATATTGTGTATCTCTGCTAGAGTTTCTGTCTTAACTAGCGAACAGCCAAAATTATACAATCTGCTGGTCTTTCAAATTAGCACTGAAATGCCAAGATATTTAATTAATTGAGCTTGTCATTGTACTAAGGACAATGCACTTTCCTTATGGCAACGAAATGGTTTAAAGGAATTGCAAATTGCCGCACAGCAGGCGGTTAAACTTGCTGCAACGCAACTTGACATTTTAGCCAAAAAAAATTTTAATATCGAAAAATTGTCGCATTGCCTGCATTTCTCATTTGCCCGGCATTCGCAGAGCAGGAAGGGGCAATGACTTTGGCACTTTACAATTTTAGTACGTGTTGCCAAAAGATGAAATTTTCCTCTCGCAAAAACGCAAACTGAAACAAAGACTGCCTGCCAAAAAGTAATACATTTTTGTTCGTTTTCAAAAATTTTGCTTAAAAATAATATAAAAATATTTATTAGTTATCAAATGTTTGCAAACATTCTTTATTCATATTGATATTTAATTTAATTAATTCAATTATTCACTTATACATTTAATATATTCTAATTAGTTCTTTAACTTTACATACCTATATTATACAGGTAAGGTTGGCTTTTTTTTTGCAAAAGCTAATCAATCATATATGCAAGCAATTAAAATAAAATATTTGCTGGCAGATTTTATTATTTGTTTGTTAAATACAAATTAATATTTTCTTTTTTTGTTAAATATTTTTCAATGTTGCACATTCGAATCGAATCGCATTGACCTGCATATTTTGATCGAAAGCGTCAACTGACATGTGGCAAGTAGCAAGTATCTGAGACAAAAACGTTAAAAAAAATTTACTTAAAATATATATAAATATAAAAATATAAAAAATTTTGTTCTACTAAAATTATTGCTTAAGTATCTTGGGTACTTGCAAAAATGAGAACTTGCACACGTTCAAGGTGTCTGTGATTTATGAAGATTTTTTGCCGTCGTACTTGACAACGAAATAAAATAAAAATATAACAACAATAAGAATTAATTTGCTCTGGTTGCACCCTAAATTCAAGAAAGATATAGTTCATGTTTCATTTTAGATTTTATATAATAAATATGCATAAGTGATGCAAAAATGTGTTATTTGACACATAACGGGCGGCACCCTTTCCTACTTGCTCAAGTAAAATTCTGCATTCTTGTAAAATTCCAACAACTTCAAGTTTAATGCATAAATTCAAACTTTTCAAACTGATACGAAATTAGAAATACGTGCTAATTAAAGATTTCTTCTGTGCCACAGAAGAATGGCTACAAATTTTTATGGAACAAAAACAAACATTAATAATACTTTGTTTATTGTATGTATTGCAAATTGCATAAGTTTGGTTTGTTAAAAGTTGAAGTAACTTCAAGAACATAAACAAATTAATTAAAAAGTTTTAAATGTAAAACTAAGACTAAATGCATTAAGTGCAAATTAATTGAAGTTTCTTATTAAATTGGTAAAAATAGTTCATGTACTATAACACAAACAGTTATTATTCCTCTGAAATTTATAAATATTTCATAAATTTAATATATTTTCTTCACAGGCTGAAGAAATAAGTAGTATCTAATCAATTTTATTTCAAAACTTATTATGCTATTAACTAATTGTTTCCAAAATGTACATTTTAAAATTAATATCTCTCAATTACTACGTTTTTATACAATAATAATATTAAATTTTCCTTTTTTTATTTTTCTTGAGTTGTGGCCAAATACTGTCTTAGCCTACAATCTGCATGGTTTCTCATAATTTTTCCCCAGTGATTGAAATCAAGTTATCTAAAATAAATTCTTATCCAAATAAGCCAACAAAATAGATGACGTTGCACTATTCTTTTTTATTGGAATCTTTAAAGCACAAGATATGTATCACTGATTCGCATACTTGTATATGTTTTAGCCGACTCATCTACATAGCTAACAGCTTAGTTCAAGAATGTGTAACCAAGCTCATGGAATGTGCTCATGAAAATGAGGTAACGGTCATGTGGGTTAAGGGACACGAGAAGGCAGATAAACTTGCAAAGCAATTATCAAACCATAACTTCTGCGGCCCAGGACCTAGAAAACCATTGAGTTACAACATGATGACAGCCTATGTCTATAAATAGATAACCTCACTTCATCTCAAGAGATGGAGAGAGTTGAGCACTTGTAGACAGACCAAACTCATGTTGCCGAAACCATGGGTCAGGGAACCGATAAAAGTGCTTAGCTATACGCGGAGTACCCTCAGCTGGCTGACCTCACTAATTACTGTGGACATGGCAACTTCAAGTATCATCTCAAAAAGATAACTCTTGCTGAGGAAGACACTTGCAGACTATGTCTAGAAGAAAAGGAGACAGGAGGAAGACTGTCTTGGGGCACCATTGGGTTGGTGATAACTTGGCAGGCAACCTCAAGCTAAATGAGCTGCTTGCATTAACAAGAAATGTAGTTATGCGAACGGAAGCCGCTCCAGCTTTAACTCAATAACGACATCCGAGAATAGAAGGACGAAAAAGAACCCAAGTAGTTTCGTGGTCTACTTCGGCTAATCGTTCACTTTAGTGGGGCCACTTGTTGGACGGTAGCCGACTCACCCAATACTCTAAAACTATAAAATTAAGCTTCCAAACCTAACATATATCATGTAACAAAATTAAAAAGTCAGCATTTGTTTTACTTTCACTCCTAATTCAATAATTGTTTCAGCATATCGATTTAAGATTTTCATTTATAATATTATATAGAGAGAGTCTCTATAATTTACTTACCATCATTCACTCATAGATGTCGCAGCACTAAGAATTTTTATGGATTCACTCTTATCGGCTCTGGAACAAATATTTAATCATTTTTATAATAATTATTTCATAATTATTGTGACATATTTTTCAAAAAAATTCGCTTTAAACTATACTGTGATACTCAGGTGTTTGTGATTAAAGCGTTTTTTGTGTAGATTTTTCTTAATTATTAGATAATTATTAGATATAACTCTTCCATTAGCAATAAATATTGTTCTTGTAAAGTAACATTCAATCTTAATACAATAAAATAAATAATAATACAATTAATTAATTAATTCCAAGTACTAAAAGACTGAACAAAAGTTAGAAAAATGAAATAAAAATATTTTGATATAAAAACAACTACACCTTGCGCCATAAGTACCTTTCATCAAATAAACCCTCAAACTGTCATGTATAATTAATTTAACTGAAATTATAATTAATTCATAAACTGATTTTGTGGAAAACCTACGCAACGAAATATATTTTCGAATACATATTTTATTCCAATACTTATCAAATAGATACTTTTTTATTACTACTATTCCAAACTTGACATTACATATGATTATATCACAAGTATATAAATTTCTAGATATGATAAAAAGATAAATTATTTTTCTGAAACATGAAATCAATTATTGATTTTGCATGTGAAATAAAATAATACATAAAAATCACACAATATATCAATCTATATTTATAATATATACTTGTATGTACGATATGTCTATATACAAATTAAATTTTGTATTTGTTCTATGTACGCTTTGAAACTATCCCACTGATTTTGAAGAATTTTTAATGGAAAATTATTTGACTAGTTAAGAATGTTGATTACACTTGGGCCTGATGGGTACCGGTGGTGTGATTTAAAAAATATTTTTTTACAAATATTTTTAATGAATAAACTTTCTTTAATTATTTTTTTTTTTAGGGTACCTAAAAGAAATTTCATTTTTTTTTTTGTATTTTACTCTTGCTCTAAAAAAGCTGTAGATCATAAATAAAGAATAGTGTGATAACAGAGTTCAAACTAGTACGTTTGATATTATTGTTGTACCCCTTAGTCGGATTAGAGTGTTTCTCTAAGTTCGATTTCTTTAATGAAAAACAGTATAGAACCTATCTTTCCTAGTCTTGAGTTCTTATGATGCATGAAATACCCTCCTAGGTGTTTCTTCCGCTTGTGCATCAGTGACGGGTACTCCCCAAGCGCATGGTATGCAGTTCCTCTCTCTTCTTTACAGTATCTGAAGTCTGAGTTGGATTGAATTCCTAACTTCAAAAGGTGATCATTCAATCTACAGTGACTGGTCAATAATACCGCAATAATTCTAATTTTTTAATTGTACTATGTAATTTTTGAAGCATTTTAGGTTGTAAATCCCTAAAAGCATTTTAGATTGCAATCGTCTTGATAACCTTTCCATATAGAGTTCTCTTTCTTTTTCCTCTGCGCCATTCATAAGATTGGGTAGAGTTCCTTTGCGTAGACTACAGAATGGTTCTGGGCCTATTGTTCTTGAAGCGAGCGCCTCTTCTTGGAAGTTTGTCTGTCATTTCATTGCTCGGAATCCGTATTAGGTGCACCTGATTGTTGCAGCTGAGTATGTTCAGCTTATCAATGCACTCCCATATAAGTTTGGATGTTACCTGGTAGGATATGACTGCCATTATAGCTGCCTGGCTGTTATGTTTGGTAACAACTCACTGAAGAAACGATTTCATACTTCGGGATACATACGTCATTGTTACTGTTTTTGTTTTCATGAAATGGGCACATAGTATAAAATTCTTTTTCAAATATTTTTGGCTTGAATAATAAACAAATATTGTTTAGAAATATTATTATAGAAACAATTTTAGATTCTATAAAATTATTCTACGTTAATTGCTAAAAAGTTCCATTCATAACAGTAAAGTACAAGTAAAATATAAAATTTAAAAAAAGTTTCAACAGTAATAATATATTAAATAATATATTGTATTTTAAATATGCAAAAGGTACTAATTGATCTCAAACTTAATTAAAGTTAACTTTTTTTTCTATATAATTGAGATCATTTTAAGGCCAACTTTATATTCATAAACGGTTATGCTTATGATCGTAAATATTTTTACAAAACTGAAAAGTAACGATTTTACACAATATTAAAATAATTTATGAATATTGTAAACTTTTTTAAAACAAAAATTTTTTGAGTTCATAAATAGTTTTGTATTAAAATTATTTTTATATTCATATACTCATCCACCTACAATCTAAACTTAAAGATCATAAAAGCCATAAAAGTCATAAAAGAATTCAACTGTAAATAATGAAATACTTGCCGGAGCACATAAACATTTATATAATGGTGCTTTTAGCTTAATATAATAAATTTTCAGTACATGAGTATCTTAGTGTAAACTGAGTTGAAAATAAATTACCTACACAATTTATGCTCGATATATGTAGGTTCGTTTAGAAATTTAATGAAATAGCAAAGGGATTTCTCCTCTATTAGTAGTCATAGAGGAAAACTTCTTATTGAATTATCATAACAGCATTAAAGGTCAGTATTGATTTTAAATTAAAGTTGTTATAAGATGTAATTAGTTAATATTGGATTATTAAGGCTATTAGCATCGCATTTGCAAAACAATACGGACGTTCATTTACATATCTATGAAAATCACTTCAATCACTTTAATTATGCAAGTATGAATTTGTATATTACGTCGTTTGTGCTCCACGTCATTAATGTGGAGCACAAATTTGCCTATTGCCTATCATTAATAATTAATTACTGTTTTGTTTGCTCAAACTGTTTCAAATATGCAATATCAGCGATTCAATCGCCTGAGGACATTTCTGTAATAATAGTAATTTTAATTATAATAGCAAAGATTTATACTATTACGCGTTAGATATGCATAATTAAATTAAGAGTACAAGAAAAATTTCAATCACGTTACAGAGCAATGATTCAATTCAATTAATCGCTGTGGTGTTATAATTAAAATTGATTTAATAAACTGTTAAATATCATGACTCGTGTTAACTGTTAATTTACTGCAAGAAATACTGTTGATGGTTTTAAAAATATATTAATTAATAACAGTTCAATAATAATTAAAAAATTTTTTAGTTTCAAGTTCTTGCCCTTTGCGTTTAACAAAACGTGATCATATATAACAGTAAACTTTTAAAAAATAATTAAGATACTTAAAGTATCTTAACAGTCTTAAGTAAGACTGTTTAATCACTTTGCTAATTGAATTATTAGGGTAGGGTATGAAAAACTGGTTCATTACAGAATTGTTAATTTGTTTACAAAATTTACCACAAGAAAATAAAATAATTTTTTTCATAGGTATAGTAAATACATATACTAATACATGTATAGAGTAAATTCTATTATTAAGTATCGTCTCAACCATACCTGCAAAGTTTAATTTTAACATTTTTTTAATAAATATCAATCAAAATAATTATCTGAAAACTACATATTTTATTTGCCAAAAAATTAAATAGTTTATGATTTTTAATTTTTAAGTTAATATACCTATATATAATGTGTATTAGACGTAGTTTTTTCTGTGCTCTTAAATTGCACATAAAATTCTACAAATAAATGTTTATATTCTACATCAAAGAATTCACATCTCAAGAGTACGATGTGTAATCAAAAATTTACAATATTTTTTTTTATTTTTTCAAAAAGTATTTATTTCAATATTAATGCCATTTAAAATACAAAGACTTAAGTTCCTCTTGATATTATGCACTCATGCCACAGCAATTTCCATAGTTTGAGAGAAAATTGTTGAAATACATTTAAAGGCATGGGCTTGAGCTCACTTTGTAATTAAGCAACTAATAAGTGGGTTTATCTCTAATTATTACTTCTTTTCAGGCTAGTCTATAGATAGATTGTTTAAATGAAATTTTAGTCACTCTTTAGTTAATAACAATAGTTGATTAAGATACATACATCATCAGCATATTTCTAAAAACCTAGTTTAGAAAATAGGTTTCATTATACATCATATCTATCATTCTATGACACTTTACACTGCATATGACGAAAGTAGAAAGAGCGGACATTTGAAGTAACCACATAACATCGGCATTAAGTTTATTAATTTAGCAGGTATGACATCTTTGAAAAGTACTCTTTAGTTATGTTTCTATATTTTCACAATAGATCTTTCTAAAATTCTATTTATTTTGATTTAAATTCCAAAATTCCGTTAAACTGGCAAAAATAAAACTATTGTATACAATGTACATCTTCGATCAACATTTTAATTATATATTAATTGAATATGTTAGGTATATTAATAGGAGGATAAAAGGAAAATTTGGTCTGCACCTAAATTATTTTTAAATAGTATTCTTTTAAATAGTACTAAATAGTAAATAATACTCTTGAAATTGAAGGTGAAGTAAAGTTGTAGTGACAACCATGGGATGTGTTAGATTGTGTTTTGATATTAAAGGACGTGTGCGAGTAAGGCTAAGTTTAAGCTAAACCAAATGGGAGATTTTTTGGGATTTTTTGCACTGCACACATTTAGCCATTTATCAACACGTATCGACACATCACTACATTATCGGCACAACTTAGAATTTCTCTCATTTAGAACGCAACTTAGCCTAACTCGCACACGTCCTAAATACTCTATATATATAGTACAAGCAGTAACTACATAATCGGTGCTAGCTTTTCGAACTTTTCTTAAATATCGTCATTGTATGATGGTTCATTTAAAGCAAATTAATGAAACTAAGCTTTCTATGGTGTTGCGATGTTGTAATTTTATTAATGATAAATAAAGTTCAAGTTAAAATATACCACATGCATCTTTCGTACTTTTTTATATTCTAGCTTTTAGATGTGTAACCAATAGATGAACTATTAATGGTTACTACTTGAATACTAAAACTTGTAAGAATCAGCACTTCTTTTAAAACGATGTTCACAAGAAAGCATTTTTTCTTGTTTGTTGTAATATGATTAATCTTATTGTCTTTATATGTATATACCTAATGTACTCAGAGTCTTTATTAAATCTTGTTTTTATAGCAATAATTTATAATTAACAATAAAATTATTTTCACAACATAGAGCTATGAACTTAGTCCCACTATTGTATCGATTATACCGTTCCAATGAACTGCTAAATTTCAGTGTTGTCAGAGCCCATATTTGCATTTATGCTATATTATCTAGAAAAACAGAAATATCTTTTTCATGTTAGTTAAGGTTTCATGAAATTTATTGAAGAAAATATATTGAAAATAGCTAGTTTTCTACTCATACACTTTTTTGTGAAATTATATCTTAAATTTTTATACCTTAGTTCCTGATACATAACTTTGGATTGGTTAAAAGTATTATAAGATATAAAACCATAAAAAGCTACTTAGAATACTTTGTCTGCTTGATTGCTTTTATATACAAAACAATATGTAAATGGAAAATAACTTCTAAGACTTCTTCGTAGTTTTTACGTTTAAAAAACGATTTACATATTTATAAAAAATTGTTAGGAACAAAAAAAGTGAAACAAACTATTCACACTCATTTATATTATAAGTGGCATTTTCTTTCTTTTCTAAAAGATACTTGAAGAAATACTCTAAGAACAAATAAACAATTTTAGAAAAACGGTGAGTACGGTGAGGCCCAACGTAGTGTAGCACTTTTATTTTATTAAGTAAGATCCTTTCATTTCATACCTAAAGACTTGCAAGTACCACTTTGTGATAACGTAAAACACTGAGCATGCAAATTCACATAAAATAAAAAAGTAGCACAAATCCTTAACATGTTGTTCATGAAGTCAAGGCAATAAGACTTGTAATAATAAAAGTAAAATACAGTCAAAGACTTTATGCAAATTTAACTGCAGGACGACAAACAAGCGACGAGTCGAGTTTTAGTAACACCTTTCGATTTTTATAAAAGAGACGAAGATAAGGAAGAACTTTACTTATTTTATGCGTTCAACAAAGTGTTTTTGCAATAAAGGACACTTAACGAATGAATAAATTTGAAATCAATGAATTTCTTGATTTACAATATTTACTTTAAGGATTTGTTTTCAATTTAAATTTTTATCAACGATTAAATATTTTATATGCTACAATTTCAAAACTCAATAATGATTTTTAATATTATGTTTTATATAAAATAAAAGTTGTTGTTGGCTTTGCACATCATGATTGTATTTCAATTTTATTCATCAATTATTTTTTATATTTGCAGTTGATAGTCGCCACTTGAAGGAATCAATTGAACGTGCTGAATTCTCTTTACATCTTGAACTGTGGTTTGCTGAACAAAATGGCACAAGTAATTTATCATTAGCATCGACACGCACCTTGCAACTCAATTTCCATCCAGGTCGAGGACTGCATTATCATTTACCAGTACTGTTTGATTATTTTCACTTAGCAGCTATAAGTGTTGGAATACATGCCAGTCTTGTGGCTCTGCATCAGCCTTACATTAAGTGAGTATTATTAAGTCTTCTTTCAAGTGATGCTATATAGCGCACTTGACAAAACATTGGCGGTTAATGTGTAAGTGTTTTAATGGAATTGCAAATGGGTTGCCACTAAATTTTTAATTTAAATATATCACTAGCATTACAAATAACACAAAATATTTAAATTAACACTGACTGACAGTCTTTATAGTTTTATATAAAACATTTGTGCAAAAAAAGGATACATTTGTTGTAAAGACTAGATAAACCTGCCCACACAATGTTACCAATAAAAATAAAACTATGGCTTCAAATACAATATCAAAGGTGTAGTCTACAATAATATTAAATCACCTCATAACCAAAACAAAAAGCATTTCTGAGATAATATACCAGGATTAACACAAGCTAAATCACTTTTTGGTAACTATAACAATAAGAGATACCAGGATTGTATGAACCTATCAAAAGAAAAACAGGGCACTGTAAACTAAAATACCACCTTACAAGACTAAGTATACTTATTGATGCAAACTGTAGATTCTGTGAAGAGAATGAGAAGTCGGCCACACATGTGCTGTTAGAATGCCCAGCGCTAATACACATACGGAATAGACTCCTAGCAAAGTATATTCTTACGAAGAAGCAATAAAACTCTGTAAACTAGGTTCTATACTGCTTTTTATTGACGCAACAGGGCTTAGAGACTCTAAACCCAGAAGGGGGCACAAGTAGGGGACAAGTAGGGGATTTGGCACTGACGGTCGCAGTGCCAAATTCACTAACAATAATAAATAATAATCATCTTAAACTCTCCATAATCATAATCACTCAAACTACCCCCATAATAACCAGACTCATATCTCAGTTATAGATGAATTTTTCGATCCAATTTTTGATAGTGACTTACAAAATTTTTGATAAAAATTTAATAAAAAATAAATTAATAATTTTTTTTTTTTCACTTTGTCAGTTTATATGGCAACTATATCATAACTTGAACCAATTTAAAAAATCCAATATGCCTAACACATATTCTTCATATTCATTATCATTATATAGTGAAGTTTAACATAATACTTTTTAATTTAATTTTAACGTGAATATGCCAATAGTGATTATATTTACTTTCATAGAAAATGTGATTTTTAACTCCAAGTTCAACCATACATGCCAAGTACGACTCTGGGTCAGTTGGCTAATGAACACTGACTTTGAGCTTCAAATTTGGCAGGGTCCGAGTTCAACCCTTGGTACTTGCAGTCTCAAAAAATTAGTTACGAATAATTAAATACAAAAAATAATTCCAAGACCATTGATGATGGGTATTTGGCAATACTCGAAACTGCAGTATGGTCATCAAAAAACTCAATTAATTAAAATAATATAAAACAATTTTTATTGTTATAGTTCTCTACTTTTCGAAACCTCTCTATAATATTTTTATTCACACTAAAGTAGATTCAGTTTTGGTTTTCATTTTATATAACATTTATCAAATATAGTATTGCTGCAAAATTTCATATTTCTAACTTAAAAACTGAGAAACTTTTCTTATTAAAACAAACAAATTTTGATGGTTATAACGATTGGTAAAGGGTATATAAATTAAAAAGAAATATATAGAAACGCCATAAAGACACGTACAAACAATTAAGAATATCTGAATAACTTGAGTCTATGCCCCGGAATTATAATTGTATACGATGACCAATCCCCACTCACTATTCCGGTTGGATTGGAATAATTCACCAGAACGGTGGTATAGAAATGGTCTTAACATGAACAAAAACCAAAAAATATGTTTTTTTGATTTTTTTATTTTTAACAATTAGTCAGAGATAATACCTAAATTCCAGTGAATACAAAATATTTTAAAATCAAATTATATTTGATTGCTCTCTGTTTTTTTATAAACATTATCAGAAATTAGTTATTGTTTAAAATGATATATATTAATGTAACTCTAACATAAAATATAAAAATAATATAAATTGTGCTGTATTAGAGAACAAAATGTATTATTTATATATTCGCAACTCTTCCCACTTCAACAAAGTACCGAAGTAAATGAATTCAGATAGAAAATTCTTTTGATATTGGAAGTAAAGAGCACTTGAAGATACAAAGACATTCCAAACTGACTGCAAACAATAAAAGAAGTTGAAAACAAAAAACTGATATCACGTTACATGCACTGAAGAGTTCCGTTCCTGCTTATTACACTACAACTGGGAAAAATAATAAAACCAATAGAGGGAACAGAATTTTCTTGCACGCTGAGCAATAGAATATAGTAGTCAAAAGACGAAAATTTTACTTGCAACTCATTAAAATGACATTTGCCATTCATGCAAAGATACAGCTACAATAGAAAGCACTGCATTTCACAAACTTAAATTTGTTGTAAATGCAACTGTCATTGTAACTTGTCTACCCCAAGAGATGTTGCCGCTGCATTGTTGCTGCAAAGTTTTTACTGCAATTAATTTTAATGATTTAAATCAATTGTTCTTATTACTTTATGTATGTATATATATATATATTTTCTTTTTTTTGTATCAACATTTATATAAAATGACAACAACTACGCTATTGCAGACTACAAACACAGACCTTGCTGCAGGTCATCCCACAAAGTTTTATGTGGAGAACCCAGTTTCTACGGCGTTTCATTCATAAAAAGTTTGTATCAAAGTACAAGTTGGTATGATATGTAAATTGCATTAATGTTGAACTTATGGTACGTATCGCTAAACTCCCTCTTAGAAGCACCTATGAAAAAGCAACTTTTTTCATCTTTAATTTTTTCAATACATTTTCTGTGAAAAGCACATGTAAGGCGTAAATTAATGATGAGCATATCCTTTAAAAGTTTAAAATATCCGTAGGAAATTGGTAAAAAAATATGCCATGATAAAGTGAATAAAATCGGTTTTTTTTTGCTAAGGTAATAACAGCGTAGCAAAAGTTTTCAGTTATTTCATTTGCATATAATTAACTCTGAGTCAATTTAAAAGTTAAAATGAAAGGATTTTTATATCTGATGTGGTTTTAGTTATCCTTTTCGCCAATTTTATTTCTATGCTTTATGTTTTTATATAAAAGCAGTGATACTTTTATCGTGTAATAAATCTAGGTTTAACTGATTGCTGTAGTATTTGAAAATATCACAACTCTGAGGCTATGTAAATTTAAAAACAACATGGAAATTGAGAAGAATCTTTCGTATTTTTTAATTTTTAAATAAAATATGTTAATTAAAGATGTTATTAAATTTTTATGCATTTTTATTCCAAACATAGAAAATAAAAATTTATTAAAAATATTAAAATTGAGAAGAGTAGAATTTTTATTACTAATTATTTTAAATCAATTAAAGAAATTGATTAGAAATGCAATACTTACAAACTGAAACGTTTATTTGAATAAAAGTTAACTATTGTAATAAATGGAATATATTTTGATAAGGGGAATGTATTTCAATAAATGAAAATTGTTGTAGTAAATTTAATTTATTGAAATAAAAAAAATTTATTGTAATAAATAATATTTATTGTAATAATTGGCTATTACAATATAATTTTAAAAAAACTGTATCATAATACTTCTAAGCTAAATTTTTTATTTTAATAAATATCACATTGTAACCTTTTTTGATAATAAATGTAATTCATTTTAATAAATAACATAGAATTTGCTAAAGTAGATTGGGTAAAAAACTGCAATAGAAAAATTATTACAATAAATAGAATTCATTGTAATAAATGGAATTTATTAGAATAAAAAATTTTTATTGTAATAAATGGAATTTATTGTAATAAAAATAATTTAAATTTGTTAATGAACTTTTACAGCAAATTAAAGTACAAATCAAGTACGGCTTTGAATCAGTTGGCTAATGAACGCTGACTTTGAGCTTCAAATTTGGCAGGGTCCGAGTTCAACCCTTGATACTTGCAGTTTCTATAAATTATTTACGAATAATTAAATGTAAGAAATAATTCCAAGAACACTGATGATGGATATTTGGCAGTACTCGAAACATGGTCAGCCAAAATTCAATTAATTAAAATAATATAAAAACAGTTTTTATTGTAGTTCACTACTTTTCCAAATCTCTCTATAATTAATAATAATATAATTATTAATGGAATAAATAATATTTATTGTAATAAATAACATTTATTGTAATAAATGGCATGTAGTGTATTGTAAAGTTATTAAATAAAAATATTATTCTGCGGACAACGAATATGAGCTATAACAATTGCTCTGAGTATTTAAAACATAACAGCAAAATTTAACATAAAATTAATAACAAAACTTAAAAATTTAACTATATCAAGACAATCGGTAAATACTAAGTTGAATCAATTACTATCAAAATTCAGTGTTTTCTGAAAGAGTATAGATATTAAAATAAATTTCTGAATTAAGATCTTCTTTAAATTTTTCTCCAAATATGATATACTTGAATATGAATATTTTTTGAATACCTTGTAAACTATAATAAATGACGATAGATAATGAAATTAGGGGTACGAAATAGCTGAACTATATCAATAAGGTCTGAGAAGTTTCATAACATTCCGCCCACTGCAATATCTACTCCCATCAAAATTTTCATTTAAAAATTCAAAAAAAAATTATGAAATTTCAATTTACTTTACCTCAATTTACTCGAACTCGCACAAAGCCTGCGTGTACTTATTATTGATTAGTAAAGAAATGTACAATTTTATTAAAAAGGAAGAAATTTTGTCTTTATTTATTTCTTGAACTATAAACAAACTGTTTAAAATTTATAATATAATTTCAAAAACAATTATAATTTAAAACATCTTATAATCCATAAAAGCAATAAATTATTTTATTTTACTATTAATTATTAGGCTAGTATCCATATTAAAAAATTCTTTATTTTAACATGCTTTTAAATAGATGTTAAATTATTTAATTTAATTTTTTGTCAATTAAAATTAATCAATACATTTATTATTAATTTTTGGTTCAATTAATTATATTTTTAAAACACAAATGAAATTCATAAAACCCCAATTTCTTGCATATTACTTTTATTTTTGGAACAACATCATGATTGGTTATTAAAGGAAAACCCTATTTCAGTACATAAAAAAATGGTAAGAATTCAAAGAAAAATTTTTTACAAATTAGTGGACTTGTAGTAAAAATGTACAAAATAATTTGCTTAGAATTTTATTTTATAAACTAAAAATCTGTATTAATAAAAATGCTCTTCTATTGCATACACAGTGATTTTTAAGTTTTTAGTTAAAGGTTTTTTATTTGAATCTTTATATAACTAAAGTTAGTAGTAAAGTGTGCTCGATGTGTTTAGCATTTATTCATGTATTGTAAATAACTGTATTTAATAATATCCATTCATATTTAAATTTATTAATTTATTAATTTTTAGTGCACCAAAAAAATCAAATGCTTGGATTAGTAGCAGTAAACTTAGTTGCCGAGGTAGCTTATCACCTGGACCACTCGAAGCTGTATTCTTTGGACCACAAGTCGTAGGTCCAACAAAATGTAGTGGAGGTCCTGCAGGTCGTCTTGTTCAATCGAGACAAATACACCATGAAATCTGTAGTCTCTTATTAGGTGCAATTGAGAACTTAAAAATAACGTTAAATGAATTTAGCACTGTTTTATCGCCAAGTATGAACAATCAGATAGGTTCTCCACCTTTAAAAGATAATGACACAAATGAAAGATTGCAGCAATTAACAGAACAAGCAAAGGCAAGTTACTCATATAACAGTAGTCTATTTTTCGTATTCTTAATTAAATTATTATTTAGATGCATGACTCTGAAGAGGACTTTGCAACACGTGCAAATTCGGATATAGCACAGTTGTGCGCGGAAAGTATTCTACACTGGAGGCGTGTACTACTTGCTTCAACACAGCCTGCTATACATACTTTATTGTCAAAGAAACATCATATTTTGCGCATACGGCGTTTCGCTGAGGGTTTCTTTGTAACTGAAAATCCTCGACATTCGGCTGCTGGTTGTTATGATAACAATTATCAAAATTACATAGCAATTGCTGAAATGGCGAGACGCAGTCGTTATATGCAATCGTTACCACCTTTGCCAGTGCATTGTACTCCGATCGACGGTGATACTAACTCGTTGCCTTTAATTTTTGAGGATCGATATGTGGAGACCCCGAATTACTTACGCAGGCGTACAGGCAGTGATCCCAATCTAAATATTTACGAATGTGACAATGGTCTAACGCATAAAAAAGGAACATCGACTGGTCACATCTTACTGCATGATAAAACGTATTCCATAAATAGTCTAAATGGTCGCAGCAGCAGCGCTGGCGCTAAGGAATGCTCCTGTGGTATTAACTATGAAAATCAAAACAACACACAACCACCACCCGGTGTCCTAACACCACGTTTTACTTTAGGCGGTGAAATACTGCAAGCTAGTCTCACCATAGCGCCTGCTGCTGTTAATAAATCTGTTAGTGTTGGTATGAATCAACGTCAAATGTCTAGACATTCAGTGACTGGTTTACTCGACGAAATGAATTGTCAATCAGACCATACTAATGCCTACGCTATCAGTAGTGTTACATTACCCACAAGACACAGTAAGTCTTTGGATCAGTTAGACGGAGCTATGCATAGTGTGCCAACAATGCGTACTCAAAGCCAAACCCAAAATTTATGTAAGGAAATAAGAAAATTTGAAGAGATCAATTATATGCATTTCAATGGAAATAATTGCGACAGTGCAAATAGCCTTTCTATAGCAACAACACCTGGTAGTTGTAGCACTCGTAAGCCCAAGGTACAGGCAGAGGATTTAATGAGAAACATTTCTGAGGTAAGACAGAAGTATAAGAATTCAGAAGAGACTTTTAACTGCAGACATCCAGTGAACGGCGCTACCACAGATTCTTCAAATTCTAAAATCAATAACCACAATAAAAACATTGGCGGCACACTAAATAGGCAGCCTGAACATACGCGCGCCGGAAAATTTGATTATTTGCATGAAATTAAGCTTCTTAATCCACCTAAGCCAAATACTCAACTCGCACAAGGTAGTAATTATTACAATTCTCTGCCGAAAAGTGTTGTAAATGGTTGTATTCCTCCGAGAAATTCTTATCCACCGATACCATCGAAGAAATCAAACAATGTTTTGGAGAACAATAAAATGAATAATACAAAAATGGCCCTAAATGGAGTACAGCAGAATACAATACCACGTAGTAACTCCACGCAGGCTTTACGGCTTAACCGTTCAATCGATATGGAATTGAACTCTTCAACAATTCCACGTTCAGTGGAAATTGCTCGTGTAAGAGTGTCCGATCTAAAAGAAATGCTTAAGAATGGTACACTTAGAAAGGAATCAAGCAGCTCGGAAAGTGATATACCAAGTAAATTGCAAAAGGCAAGCGCTGATCATAAATTACTCTCATCTGCTAGTGTACCATTTCGTTTAGAATTTTATAATAGCACAAGTACTGAACAGAATACAAGTGGTTTTAGTGAGTCCTTGCCGAATCTAGCACCGCCACCAGAATTTGATTCACGTTTAGACAAAAAAGAAAATGTACTCAGTAACTCCACGTCTTCACTTAGCGAAGAAAGTGGCTGGGTTTCAAGTAGACGCAGCTCATGTGCTCCATCCAGCCCAGAAACGATTACAAATGGTAGTAGTAAGCCAAGACAGACAAATATCGTCGGTATGGAAACTAAATTAAATGGTGAGCAACTGCGTCTTAAATTACAAAAACTATTAGAACAACAAAATAAAACGAAAAAACAAAGGCAAGCAAACTCTGCAGCACATCAACGTAAAAATCTTGCAAATCTAGATGTACCCATTCACAAAAAAGTATCGACAGTAACGCTTAAGCTTAAATCGGAGAGTACCAAAGCATACTTAGAGCATAGAAAACATTTACGTAATCTGCCAACAAGTGAGTCTACCGAAGTAGAGGACTTGGAGAAACCTAAACCACATCGACGAGATAGAAATCGTCATCATAAATCAGAGAAATCAAAATCTGATTTTGATTTAACCAACATAAAAGAGGCTATGCCAATAGAAAGTGTGCGTGTACCACCTCCACAACAATTTCAGGATGATCTTTTGCCACCTGATGAATTTAGAGATCCACCAGTTCAAACAATAAATGATATTACAACGACTAAAAATGCGAAACACAACGAAGTTAAAAGTATTTCAACTAAATCACAAACACCAAAACCTAGACTTAAATTAAACAAAAGTTGCTCCATTAGTCCAAAATCAACAACAAAGGCCACAGCCAAAAAACCTGCCGAAATTTACAATGTCGAAACAATTTCTGTGGCATCTGTGCAACCAACCCAGCCCCCATTGAAGGAAATACCACAACAACAAAATGTTCCAATAAGACAACCAATAGGCGCCATAGACAACCCGGTTTATCATATTTACGAATCTCTCAAACCAATCGCCACACCAGCAATTTTCACAAATAAACCTGTACTGAAATCCCATAGCATTATGGAACTGAAACGTAGCAAAGAAATATTAAATTACAATTATCAAAATGGAAACACAGTGATGATGAACAACAGTAAAACCAATGGTCACCATCACTTTGATGGGACACCAAATGGTCACAGCAACGCTAACTCAATAGAATGCACCGAGGATGAAGATAAGGAGAATTCAGATACATTAAAAATGATTATACGCAGTGATAGTCAAAAATCAAATAGCTCTAAGTCAAAGCGAAAAGGACACGATAATAACATATCCTTATTGGAATTTGAAAAATATCGAGAAGAGTTTCGTAAGCAAATAAAATTTAACGGTGGCATTTACTCGGATTTTGTCAAGTTAGCTTCAGAACTGCCATACTTTTATATAAGTGACGAATATCGCGCTTTTTCTCCAAATGGCATGCATTTAATTATCTGTGTTCATGGACTTGACGGAAATTCCGCAGATTTACGCTTAGTTCGCACGTATCTGGAATTAGGATTGCCAGGCATTAATTTAGAATTTCTGATGTCGGAACGAAATCAAGGCGATACATTTTCAGATTTTGATACAATGACTGATAGGTTATTTCATTAATATTTGCAAAGATATATTAATACTTATTCATTATTTATATTCTAGACTTGTAGCTGAAATACTATATCATATAGAGACATGTGGGCTTAATCCAACACGTATTTCATTCGTTGCACACTCTTTGGGAACAATAATCGTGCGTAGCGCTTTAGCACGACCACAAATGAGACCACTACTGCCACGCCTTCATACTTTTTTATCACTATCTGGACCACATTTGGGCACACTTTATAACACGAGTGGACTAGTCAATATGGGTAAGAAAAAACATCTAATATATAAAAATGTAAAAATTGTGTTTTGCCTTCAACAGTAAATTAGTCAGAATAATATTTATATATCTTATTTAGACTATAAAGAGCAAAGTAAGAATTTACCAAGTACATATACATATAAGCAATTGTACGAGTATATGTACAAATGTCACCTACCCTACTAAGTGGTGTTGCCAATACTTGATAATAAAAACTAAATCTACAGCAAGAACTAAATGTTGTTCTTAACTATAACCCATATGTAATCCATATGTATGTATAGGTATATGAATGAGCACTACTTCCACAGATCTCCATATAGAAGGAATATCTTCTGCTCAAAAAGTACTCGGATTTTGTAAATGCAATACACAAATTTAAATTTTATTCCAAATTTATTTTACTTCCTTCAAAATATGCTCTTTCTGAAGCGAAACACATATGCCAACGCTTAACTCAATCCTCCATACACTTTTCATAGGCCCGTGAAGATATGGCTTTTAGTTCCTTCAGCAAATTCTCTTTTACCGATTCAATCGACTTAAAACGCTTATAACGAAGGGGCAATTTGAGTTTCGGGAACAGGAAAAAGTCGCACGGATCCAGATCTGGCGAATATGGTGCCTGAGCGATGACAATGGTGCCGTATTTGGTCAAAAAATCGCGTACAACAAGAATTTTCCATAGTAAAAATCGCTAAATGCACTTGAGGTAGTCTCACATTAACAGCTGCTGTAAACAAACTAATTGACAGATAGAGCTCAAATTTGTATCATATGTCAAGAAAGGGTGTACCAACATAACAAAAAAAATTTTTTTGAAAAAGGTGTATTACTTAAGGAGAAGTTAACAAACAACAAAATCCGGATACTTTTTGAGCAGAAGGTATAACTGTGATTTTAAGTACTGCTAAAACAGTAACCGGAATAAAAGATTTAAAAGCGAAGGTATTAATATCTCTCGATGCATTCTAGGATTTCTGTTGTTTCCAAATAAAAACAATTTTTAATTTAAATGTTTTTTATATACTATTCTAATTATAGAAATTATAAAATACCGAGGATAGAGGTTAAGTTCCATTTTCTGTACTGTGTAATTTAATAATAATAGTGAATAAAACTGTACCAAAAACCTATTATTAGACAATAAATATTATTATGTTAAATAAACAATGATATTAATTATTCTGAAATAATAATATAATAATATTTTATGAAAACAAATTGTTAGTAAATCTATATCTTTATTTTTAGGTATGTGGTTTATGCAAAAATGGAAGAAATCTGGTTCATTGCTGCAATTGTGTATGCGAGACACTCCTGATATTAGGAACAGTTTTCTATATCGTCTTAGTCAACGCAGTACGTTACATCACTTTAAGAATATATTACTTTGCGGATCTAGTCAAGATCGTTATGTGCCTGCACATTCAGCTCGTCTAGAATTGTGTAAGGCGGCTATACGGGATAATTCTAATCTTGGGACCGTATACAGGTCTATTATTAAATTTTGCAATTATTTCAAATAATTTTAATAAAACTATTATTTTATTAGGGAAATGGTACACAATATAGTTGCACCCATATTGGCGCGTCCTGGACTGAAATTAGCGCGCTTTGATGTACATCACGCACTTCCTCATACAGCAAATACGCTCATCGGTAGAGCAGCGCACATTGCTGTACTGGACTCGGAATTATTTATTGAAAAATTTTTATTAATTGCAGGATTAAAGTATTTTAGTTAGCACATTTAAGACATGCACATAGGAATTAAGAAACTTAAGGAATTTATTTCGTATTTATTAAAATACTCTTTTTGTATCTATACTACAAAATGGAACTGAGAGATACACATATGTAACATGATTGATTGTAGTATGAATAGTTTATTTATACATAATAATTGGTTTTGCTAATTCTAAAGATATTTTAGTTGAATTAACAAAATAGAAGATATCTATAAAGACATTGATTTCACATCTCTTTATATACTTTATATATTTAGTCTCTCTGTTTATTGTTAGTTTGTGTTATGGTTAGCATAACCTTTTGACAGGGTACTTTAAATTAAATTTCTGGAATTTTTTCTATATTTATTTCTAAGTCGAATCGTGAATTGTATTTCTATATTAAAAATATTATTTAATCAAATATTAAAATTAGTTATATATATTAATCGATTATATATAATGATGAAACAAGGAATTTTTTAAAAAATTTAACTGTAGTGTAATTAATTATAATGCCAGATTTACTTATAAATATTAAGTAGCAAAAAAAAATATTGTTAAAAATCGAATTAATTTATCAAATCAAAGAAGAAGTTTAATCAAAAGAAGATCAAAACTAAATCAAAAATATTAACAGTTTTAATAAACTTTATTGATTTTATTTACCAACGGAATCAAACCAAAGACAAATGTTTAAACTCAACGTTTTATACAAAAGACTTTAAGTAGAAATTAGAATTTTAAAACTTAACTTAAAAATGATTAAAAAATGTTAAAATCAAGCAAAATACAAAATAAATTTAGTAAAATGTTGCAATGGTAAAAATTTTATATGTATGTATTTAGAGAGAAAAATATAAAGCAATATACAGAAATTGGTTCTATATAAAACGATATATAATGATAAATCGGAAAATAATTAGAATGGCTTTTGCATTATAAAACATAAAAGTATATATACAAGTGCAGAACTAAAAATGCAATAAGATAATTTAAATATAGTTATATAGAATTTTATAATTAGAAACGCATAGACATCGATATTAGTGTACACATCTACAGATGAATACATTCCTTGAGGAATAAAATTATGTCTCTTTGATGGTCGATCTTTTACTAGGTTCAAGCTGATCTTGACTTATAATAAATTTTACAATTATTTTTCGAAATAGATAATCAATTTAATTTAATAAACTTAACATAAACGAAACGTAACTGAAACATTTAATTTCGTTGCTTTTCATTTTTTTTTTTAATATTTTTTAATTTTTTTCGTTTTTATTTTTTATATTTTTTATTTATTTTTTTATATATTTTTTTGACCGGCTATAGGTCACTTTTTATTAAATAATTCAACGTTTGTTTAATATTTTTTAATATATTTATATTTCGACTCTCCTTGGGAGTCATCATCAGGATAACGATCTAACATAAATTAATATTAATAAAACTATCTACGTTTTTTGTTTTTTATTCTATACACAAACCAATTCATTCTATACGTGAACCAATTCATCCTTAACAAAGCAATTGACTAATTAAATATGTTTAAAGCAAAGTTTAAGTACAATCCAGAGTTATATTTGTAATAACTAAGAGTAATCAGACGTACTCATTATTCTAGTAAGTCCTAAAGTAATTAAATATATGTATATTTATTTTTGTGAAATTACATTATCTAGTTAACGAATTACCTAGCCATTATGTCTGATAATGTCTTCGGTAGTGTAGCAAAAAATTAAATTTAAATTGAAATGGAAAGTATTTGAAAACATACCAAATTGAGAAATATTGATATAAACCAAAACTTAAAAAAAAGCTTTAATTAGTTTGGATTAATAAAAAAAAAATAAACTAAATGCATTTCAGAACGTATATAAAAGTAAGATATCTGCATGAGTTATATTGACTCAAAATATTTTCTACCAAAATTAAACTACCCGAAGGGATGTTGCAGATAAGACATAGATGTTACTATATAGAATTTATATACAAAAAACAATGAAGTTAATAAATCGATAAAAGGTGTTTATAAAAGAAAGAAAAATATATAGTATAGATATCACTGAATTAAGAATTTTTAAGCTTTAAAGAATAAAAATCCTACTAATTAAAGCAATAAGCCTAGGTAAACAGTATAAATCAATTTTATTACATAAAGTTTTAAAATTTTGACCACTACGGGAGAGAATTTAATTAAAAATTGAGTCTTGTTACTATTTTAACTAATAAAAACAATTAATAACAATTTATGAAGATGTTCCTGGTTAGGTCAGATTAGGTTATACCGGCCACCCAAAGGGGATTCACTTAGGTCTATTGGCTCATTGTGCTACCGTATATTGGAAAAACTCCTGGTTAGGTCAAATTAGGTTATACCGGCGTCTCAAAGAGGATTCACTTAGATCTATTGGCTCATTGTGCTACCATATATAAAAAACTCAGAGTTTAAAACCACGTCGAACGTTTGGCGAAGCTTAAAATCTTGTTAAGTGGAAGGTCTTGAAATTGATCAAGATTCTCAAAGAAGGGGCCCCTAAAGTATTGATTAAACAATCACAAATCACAAGAATTTGATTACCTATTGATTGGTTAAATAATCGCAAATCACAACAATTTGATTACCTCTTCAAAATATAACGATTTAGAAATGTTTAAAAGTCATTTTGATATGCTATTCGTACAAAAATAAGTAAAGACTAGAATACTTATTTATAATTTCCAAACAATTTATTAAATATTTGTCCACAAAATAATGATCTTACTTATTTTAAGTATTTCAATTAATATATAAAGATAAGCGATATGAATATTAAAACGATTTTAGTATTTAATGGCATCAAACCATATCTATATTAATATCTTCATTAATATCGAACACTCCATGCATTCCTAAAATATGAAAAAAAATTGTACGGTCTTCTTTACACTTAGGCATAAATAATTATATATATATACCGTTTACCATTTACCATACCATTTAATCCTTACGAAGGATTAATAGCTCTTTTTTTCTATTTTATCGTATATATACTATTCGTTCTGAGGTATAGATAATACAGTGTTTCCTACTAAATAAAAGGTTTAATCAAGTGATATAAATCGGAACTAAAGGACACGTTTGAAACTATCTTAAATATTATATTTTAGATTAGATTAAATTTTTACTTATTTTTCTTAATTTTAGCGTCTCTATAGCACTAGATATATCAAGATGATACATCATATTTTTTTATCAAAAATTATTGCCAAAATTTTCATCTCAACTTTTTTTGAAAAGGGTATCCAACACAATTGTTAAAAAAATTGTAGGGGTAGCCTGTAGGTAATGTTAATCGCTCAAAATTTTTTTAATTTCCCCAGCCCCCTTAACCACATAATGGTTTCATAAATGATATATATGTTACTAGCACTCAGAAATATATTTTATTGGTGATATAGTTTATTCATTGTCAAAGCTTCTATATCTTCATAAAACACCTAAAAACTATCACTGTAATTCGAAATCGTATTTAAGCGAATAATTATAATTTTTTTAAAATATATATGTTATATTAATATTGGATTTTGTTTTGTAACATAAATATTAGTTATATACATAAATTGTTAATATCTATCAAAGAGAACTGTGTACAATGAATTATTAGATTGCCTGTGCGAATAAAAGTTAGCTTTCGTAAATTGAAATTGTAGGATTCAAAATTTAAAGCTATCAGAGACGGTATCGGGTTGTCAATTAAATAGTTTTTGTTGTTGTTGTTGTAGGTACAAGATTCTGAATGTATGTAAAAAAGTTTTTCTAATTTATACCCAATGTTTTGAAATCTATTGACGTAAATATTGCGATTTAAATGCTATTCTGTTATATTTAGTAAATGTGTTTTAAAAAAAAGACTTTTAAATTGTTCAAAATAATTTTAATAATTTTTCTAAAAAATTTTAAAATGATATTGTGTTTTTGCTTTTTACTTAATTATTTCATTTTATAAATAAATTAAATCTAATTGTGTATTTGCCGTCCTAAACTTTTATTTTAAATATACGTACTATAAAAATGTTAAAAATTTTAAAAATTAAAGATAATTAACTTCAAAATAAACCAGAGTAAAAAAATTACTCTTCAAATTCCAAATCAATAATATTGGTTTTACAAGTTACATACAATACACTAAAAAATATAACAGTTTAAAAGCACTTTCAATATAAGAATATTTATAAAAAAATTAAAAGATTTACAAAATAGAAAACAAATATTAACGATTACGATTATAAAAAATTCGTCCAATCAAAGCCCATACTTTATATTTAAAAAAAATATATACAAATTATAATTATAATTTCATATATTTTTATATGTAATTACAGATACTATTGATTTTTGGACATTTATTTAATTTGCAAAAATTTTAATTATTATTTTGCATATTACATCTAAAATTTTAATAAACTTTAGTTGTTAATTAAAATTTCAAATTTTAAAAACGATAACAGAAATGTTTTTAAAATGTTCTTGTTATCTTAAAGATAAAAAATAAATAATTTTTTAATAAAAAATGTATCTTATAGTGTTTAAAAACTGTTAATAAATCGATCTTTTAAAAATATAAAAACTTTAATTAATTCAAAAAAATAATTTTGTTTTACAAAAAATACTTTCAAAGAAATGTTGAAAATCTCATTTTGATTTTATTAAAAAAAATTCGAATAAAAGATAAAAAAAGCTTTAAACCAATTTTACATAATATTTAGCAAAAGTAAGTAAATTTTTCTAAAATGATTTGTATGGAAATATTTATTATTAAAGGAATTCTTTTTGATCATATTCTCAGATTCCTTTTTACATTGTAACCTTTAATTAATAATGAGTTAAGGACGTGTGCAAGCTAGGCTAAGTTGATGCTAAACCAAATGGGAAATTTTTTGCGATTTATTGCACTGCACACATTTAGCCATTTATCAACACGTATCGACACATCACTACATTATCGGCACAACTTAGAATTTCCCTCATTTAGAACGCAACTTAGCCTAACTCGCACACGTCCTAATCATTACTTATATTAATAAATTTTCTAATATCTAAATTAGATCTGTTACAAACTGAGAGCGTAACACAAATAAAATGCCAAATTACGCTCTTTACACAGAACAGCTTTGTGTGAAATCTGGTGAGAATACTAGTATCATAAGCAAAACCGCCTAAATGAGACAGTGTGAATGTGCTATTAGAATGTGTTTCAGTTGGAATGTTTCCAAATGAATATAACAATCAAATGAAATCCCATAACAAAAAGAGCTGTTAAAAAGCATTAACACTTCTTTGAAACTGTGCTCAATAATCCAACATTGCAAAAACGCATTCGAACCGACGCACCAAGATTATGAACTGCACTGTTGTTTTATTATAGCCGTTTGCGAGTTAGACTAAGGTCGTGTGCGAGTTAGGCTAAGTTGCGTTCTAAATGAGGGAAATTCTAAGTTGTGTCGATAATGTATTGATGTGTCGATACGTGTTGATAAATGGCAAAATGTGTGCAGTGCAAAAAATCCCAAAAAATCTCCCATTTGGTTTAGCATCAACTTAGCCTAACTCGCACACGTCCTAAATTGATGATAAATTGAGGGAAATAGTAAATTATGTCGGCAGCAAATGTTGGTATTTACCAGAATTTCGAGTAGGGTATATTAGATAAAAATTAAGTAAATTGGGAGTTACCATTGTGAAAATTTTATAAGATGTTTTTAAATAAATAAATAAATTTTAAAACTTTCAACCAAAAATAATAAATAACTACAATAAATAAATAAATAAATATTTACATAAGTACAGTGCAAAAAATCCCTAGGAAATTTCAATTTACTTTACTTCAATTTACTTGAATTCGCACACGGCATTATAACACAATTTGATTTTAGTTTTTTATAAGTCCGGTAACACTCATCTTAAAGAAAATGTGGATCACAACAAAAACTGAAAATTCTATTGTGAACATCCCACAAATCAATATATTAATCATTTTATTGCAAGAAAAAGTTGTTGCGAAAATAATTGGTAGAAAGCTATAAAATATTAAAAGCAATTTAAAGTGCCAAAACGTAGAAATTTATTAACTATAATTAAAATAAATTAATATATAGTAAGCAATTAAAGTATGACTTCTCGAGTACCACAACTGCGATTAAGTGCCAGCGCGTTAAAATGTAAACAGGGCTGTGGCTTTTATGGAAATTCTCAATTCGAGGGACTTTGCTCAAAATGCTTTCGCGAACGTAACGACAAGAAGAAAAAACGTATGATCTTTATTAATTATTTACAATATCTAGAATACTATAAAATAATTTGATTTTGTTATTAGAAAATTTACTGTCGAGTTCAACAGCATTTAGAATCGATCCAAATTTACCAAAAACAAGTGATGGAAGTGTGAATAGCAGCCTTGTAGCTGGACGTTTATCTCCCAAAAATTTGCTAAATCGCTCGCCATCGAAAAAACAAGATGAAGCCACCAGTAGTAGTGGAACATCCAATAAAAAGAAATCATTAGTACCCTATAGTGCTATTATACAAAAAACACTACAATCAACAACGCAAAAAACTAGAAAACACAAAAATGAAGAACAACAGAGTAAGAAATTTATTTATTGATAATTATTTCATTAAAGAATTGATTCATGTAAGAATTATTATTATTTTTTTCTAAATAGCTGTTATGCAAGACAAACCGCATATACCGGACGCAACGGAGAAGCAATTTATTTTACAATTCAAACAGTTACGTGTTCCCGATGATGGAAAACGTGTGCTCAAAGATGAAGTACAACGATTAGATGGAACTATACGTAGTTATATGAATAGCAATGCCAATAAAAATGTTGAGGAACTTTCCGAATTGGTGCAAAATGCATATACAAAATTTGCTGATACTGTGCATAATAATCAGATATTTCAAATAGCTACCAATGAGGATCGTGAAAGTGCCATCGATTTTTTTGAAAAGGCTGTAATGACACAAAATCACAAGTAAACGTAAATGTTTTCAATTTTTAAGCATTTAAATATATATTTTTTCGTATAGATTTTTGTTTAGTCCTTACTTTACGACAGACGAAGAAAAAGATGCTGAAATACAAAGGCGCATACGACAATTAAGTTGGATCACTGCAAAACATTTAGCTTGTAGTATCGATGAGGTAAACGCAGAATCTCGTGATTTGGTCTATAATGCAATAACAGGTAATGCATAAATCTAAGATAAACTTCAAATGCTGTAACGAATTTAAAATATTGTTTATTACAAAAAATTGTAGAGTTGGTCGGTATAGATTCGTACTATTCACCGCAGGAAAAACTTGAATGCACCGTACGTTGCTGCAGAAATATATTCGAACTTTTAAAGCACTCAGTTGGTGGACCTGCTAGTGCAGATGAGTTTCTGCCAGCACTCATTTTTGTTGTTTTAAAAGCCAATCCAGTAAGACTTCATAGCAATATTAACTTCGTAACACGATTTACAAACGCATCTCGTCTGATGAGTGGTGAAGGTGGTTATTATTTTACAAATTTAGTATGTATTTATATAATAATTTATAACGCTTATTTTGTTATATATAAAAGAAATTTGTTTTGCAGTGTTGTGCCATTTCTTTTATTGAAAATCTAACTGGTGAAAGTCTTAGTATACCTGAAGAAGAATTTAATTTACTTATGTCTGGGGATAAGCCATTTAGTACACCCTGGGAAAGTGCTTTATTGGCTTGTGAAAGCTTACATCTTATATCAGAAAATATGAAACGTATGGAGTCATTAAAGAAATGCAACAGTATTATATCATCAGGAATTGAAAATCTAAAGAATGAAATGGATAGTTTTCAAGTAAATATACATATTTAAAATAAAATACTTTAAATTAAACGATACAATTTTTAAGGTTGATATAACAGAAAAAGTTGACGCATTACTAGCAAGAGCGCCACTAACGATATTACCAATTAAAACTCCTAGCTTTCTTATAAACAAGGCACGTAAGCAACTTGCAAATGGTAATTTGGCAACACCAACATCTAGTGCAACAGGTTATTATAAAAATAACTTAATAGCCTCCATTGTATGTGATGAAAAAGCTAAAAGTAATTCTACAGAAAAAACATTAGATTTACCATTTACTGCGCCGCCTACAACATTGAATGAAGCGGTAAAGGATAATGATGAACTATTAGCTGAAACAGCTTCTCACACACTTTGCCTCAAAGATACTAGTACTGGATCAATTGGTCGTTTATCGCCATTATTAACTGCTCAACCAACTGTAGATCAATTATTTGCTTCACCAATATTTAGCTATACACCATTTGATGATATATCCTTGCTTGATGAACGTTCGGATTCTACTGATGAACTTATGTTAAATACAAATCTTCGAGATGGTTTAACAAATGTTAACTATGATTTTGATTTATCTGATCCAAGTGCTGATAATAGTGTAGCGGAAGTATCAAAATTAGATCTAGAGGAATTCGATCCTTTATTGGAAAAATCGAATGATTCATGTGAAGATATGAGTAATATAACAGAAACATTTGAAAACAAATTGACAATCAACTCCACAACAGAATCTAATCAAAAGAGTCTACTAGACAGTGATTCACCACCTAATGAAACTAGTTTACCTTCGCCTATAAAACCTACTGTTACAGATTATCGTGGCTTTTCAAAATGTGAAATTCCATCTATATCCTGTAATACTGGGGACTTTAGTTCATTAAATCATTCTGTCAACGATGAAAGCTTAAAAAGCAAAGAAAATAATAATCAACAAAATGGTTTTAAATAATTATCAAACAAAACTACAATAGATCAGAAGTTATACACATTATTTCTAACTACGAATTTTTACTATATTAACTGTGTTAGGCTTATAATAAGTGCTTATTATATCTCAGTGTAATAAATAAAACTATTTTAAGTGAATATTTTGATGTTTTGTACTATAGGAAGTTTGTATTTCAAAAAAAAAAAATTAAATATGAATTTTTTTGTATATAACTGTAGCAAACTCTATAAATCTTGAAATGTAACCATAGTGTACTCCACAAAAGTAAAAATAAAGTAATATATAAATAATTTATAGTATGTGAAAACACTCACCTAGGAGTCATTAATGAAGATATTGACATTTTTGTTTGTACCGCAAAAACTTTGCTTCATTTTTATAGAGACGAGAATTTTGTAGGAGCCGCATGATTTTTAGTAACAAATGATTTCACAAGGAAATGAGTGCCAACTATTTAAGAATAGCCAGCCATCAATATTATTTGAAAAGTAGCCTATAAAGGTAATGACGAGATCAGATAATCAAATTAGCTGTTATTGTTTTTATATATTTTTTTTATATTTTGATAATAATGAATTTAGTATCTGTAAGGATCCGGAATGTTATACATAACTTCTTTTTATTAAACAAATAAACCAATATTTAATAATTAATGCTTTTAAGAAATATTCACATTGAATATTTTAATTAAATTGAAGCATTCAAATATATCAAACTTATAGACAAACACTTCGATAAATAAATCTTTATAAAATTATGAGCGCAACAAGTTATTTAAAAAAAATTTATTAAGACTTTTATTTAGTATTTTTATTATATTTGATTATTACAAATCGTAATCAAATATTGACAACAAATTTATGAAGTTAGTTCTCTCATCTCCAAATATAAATATATCACTTTGCAGCTAAGCAATATACATAAAATTATCGACATAGTCTTTGTTTCTATTAATAATAAAATATTTCTGAAATTAGTTGTCCTATTGAGCAGCCATTTTTTTTAATAAAAATTAAAATAAAACACAGGATTGTGAAATAAAAGTTTCATAAATTTATATTTTGTATAATTCTTCCTGTCGGTTAGCATTAAATCAATTTAAAATATTACTTGATGAACTTCGTTATTTTATACTAAATCTTGAATAATTTCAAACTATAAGTAGTAGTAGTAGTATAGTATTTTTATTTTAGTTCAAAACACTATAATATTTCAAACTTTGAACTAATCTTATCGTTCTTATACGTTTATGCTATTAATAAATAAATTACAAAATATTTACACATTAAAATATTGTTAATTATTGAACTAAAGACATGGCCCAAATGCCATCTGTCAAAATATATGTGACTTATAATAAAATACTTTTTCATTAATATGTAACATATTAATTAATTCAACCTCTTTAACTACTTAAATCATAGATTAAAAACTATTTAAACGAAAATGTCTGTTAAAGTCTTATTGTGCTTTTGGTTTTTACTACTTTTTCACAACCCTGTGACAATATTCACAATAGTTACTCATGTTGAATAATCCATATACGAAAATACACAACAAAATGAAATGTCAAAATTATGTGGCAGCAGCTTGCTTAATGGAGTAGCTTTTGTTGCCGCAGGAAAGTTTAGTAAAAACACCGCGATTAACATAAAATATTAAGTTATTGAAAGTTCCAAATGCTGAAATAATAAAATGATTCAATTATCCGACGACGGGTAAGTATATTAAATACATATATACCAATAAATTATATAGAAATTAAGAAAACAAAAAAAAAACAGGAAAGTAATTAGCAAAATCATTCATATTTGTTATGCAATGCAAATTGATATTTTTTGTGGTGGATTAAATATTAAATATGTTATTTAAATAAATTAAATAACACTATTAAATTCGAACCATAAATGTATTGATGTGGATTTAACAGTTTATGCAATGAAAAGGAAACGACTTCGTATTTCGTTTCGCTCAATTTGTTTGCTGTATTTTAACGCCAAACAAAGCATATCAGCTGGGGTGACGCTGCCGAAAATGTATGTAACTACCCCCGCAGCTGTTTATCGACTATGACCTTAACCTTGAATATGAAAGTATGGATCAAAAATATTTTCTAAAATTACTGTTTGTTTATATATTTTTTATATATTTGAACTAGATATACAATTTATTAGAAAAAATGTTTTATTTATTTTAGTTCAACAAAGAGCCCTTCATTCCACATTATACGCGAGGTATACGATAGCTCAAATGCTCATGAACGTTTTGAAGCTGAATTGGATAAAGCCCTCGAGGCGAAAGTGGATTATATTATAATTGAGCCAACGCGTTTAGGCGATGAAACGGGCCGTTGGATCACAGTTGGTAATTGTCTACACAAGACGGCTATAGCATCAGGACTAGCATCTCTTATATCTAGTTTGATTTGGAGGGATCGACCTGTTGTTGCAGCGCCAATGTGTGCTGTTTCATTGTTTTGTACTGGTCTGTACACAGTTTCATGGAACTATGATCCCTGTTGTCAATACCAGGTACTAGTAATTACACGAAGTACAATCAATCTATTTTATAACATGTATAAATATATATGTCTTAGAGTAGATGAAATAAGTTTTAAATACCTTTTACCCAAGCCTAAAAAAACCAATATGAATATAAAGCAAGTCTATGAGAAGCTATATATATTATTTATAGATAAGAAAAGTAAAGATATGAATATATCATTTTGGTAAATCAAACATAAATGTACATTTTACATAAAAATAGTTTTATAATGAAAGATATCCTATAATCTATCCAGAACTAATCCGTTGTAACAACTGGTCTTTGAAATTTTCGTAACTCAGAGTTACTACATGAAATAAACATTAAACATATGCTAAACATTGCTTATATATCATTAATTGTGTTTCATTTAACAATGAACTGAATCATTTTTGACATTTTTGATAGTACATCAAATTATTGGAACAGTTTAAGCACACTAACATTTGAACATTTCAAATAAACATTTTAAATATTCGAACATGTTTAAGCCGCAAGTTTGTTTTATGTTGGATATTGTTTTAATTTATCTATGCATATGACCAAACACAAAATGCCGTTCAACATATTCGAAGATCGAAATGTTCGAAATTTCGAACAACTCAAATTTTATTTCGTTATTATTTATGTTGACCTTAAACTCTAATTTATAGACGTTATTAGATAAAACACGTGATGTATTTTTCTTAAGTTTTTTTTTTATTTTACAAATTGGAAATTATAAGATCTATATCCTAAAATGCCTAACACATTTCGAAATACCACTTACCAACAATCCTTTCAATTTTCTTGCTTTATCGTCTTAATGAAAGATCAGTAGTTTATAGCTAGCTACTAACCTGTCTAGATTTGTTTTTTTACAATATGTCTGTATTGAATCGCTTTAAATTAAAGCCTAACAATATACTTCAGCATCTTAAAAACTAATAACAATACTATAATGAAATATATATAATTATTTGTAAATTATTTTTTAGCCAAGACATATTTACCAGATATCACGGCGTATAAGTTGAATTAATCAGGGTGATCTTTAAGAAAGCAGGATGACAGGTCTATCATTCCGTTTCAGTCTAGAGGATTTTATCCTATTAGCAAGAGGTCTAGCCAGCGGATTAACATGATTTTCAAGATTTGAAATATATTTCTGTCTTATTCTCTCGAACTCGACTTTAACCATCGGAACTCTCAAATCGAAATGTATGTTTTCATTTCTGATATACCAGGGTGCACCAGTTATCATTCTTAGAATCTTTGCTTGAGGTCTTTGCAGGATTTCTACGTTTGACGAACAGACAATGCCATATAGATGATAATTTTTCAAAATGCTCGATACTAGGCGGCTGCTCGAAAAGCTGATTTTTTCTATTCAAAATTATAGGCTTAAATTGGTTTCTCAGTAATAGATTAGTCGAAAGTCTTAACATAAAAAGCAGTTGAAATCGCCATATTTAATAATAAATAGTTATAGTAAAACTATTTTATAAATTCATAATGCTTATATATATGCACATGTATAATGTATTATTACTTTTATATAAGTAATTTAAAATAATATAATATATATATATATATGTATTAAAACTTTGTATATTTTATAGGTTGAATCTGATGAAACAGTTCTTAATAAACTGCCTTTGGCGGATGTGTCCTCGCCTATAATTTTAAGCTACTCACCAAATACGAAGTCCAAATATTTGCACCGTAGCGTTGCTTTAATGTCGGCTGTGTTTTGTGCTTGGCAAATCTGGAAATCCTATAAGTAGTTTACAACAACAAAAACCATCCCAACTGTTACAAAAAAAAAAAAAAATAAACAAAAAAATTATATTAATAAAAATCTATGAAAAAAGAACAATTATAATAATATATATTCACGAGCTTCATAAACTAAATAATGAGCAGCTCAAATTCAAGATTATTTGTAATATAATTTAAAGGAATACCGAACTCATGCTTTGGGCATTAATTAACTTATTTATATGTAGGAAGAGTAAAGTAAGGAAAGTTTAAGAAATTTTTGTGATCATAAAGTTTTGAAAGAGATAAAAATGCATTTGTTTTAATATTGCGTATTGTGTTTTTAAAACTCGTTGGATAAAACAATTCTTTTTAAGATTTTTGTAAAATTTACGCTTTCTGTTACGTTTAAACGTTTAAACTTTTGGATACGGTTTGGAGAAAAAATTGGATATATTAATATAATCCAATTCTTTAAAGTATGTAATTATAAGTTCTAATATATTTTAAGTATTTAATTTGAAATTGAGAAATGTTTATAAGAAACGTGGTAATTATTTGAATTGCCTAATTTCTTTGTTTTAATTATTAATTGTTAAACAAATTAAAAATATAAAAATAGAGCGAGGACAAAGTCAAATATAAGAAATTTATTAGTATAGAATACGTGCGTTTTTTTTCCAAATTTAATAAGAAGTTAAATAATAATACTAGTGCTCGGATGAAATAATTTTCTATAATTAAATAATTTCATACATGAAGTTTTTTTTATATACTGATTTTTGTTGCCATATTTTAAAATCATATCAAATGCATTAATATGTAATTATAACATTTTTCGAAAAAACTACAAAAAGCTTTATTTAATTGACATGCAAGTCAACATAAAGTGAATTTATATATAATTTGTATGTCTACGAGAATAAAAATGATGGAAATAGAATCTAACACTCAAATTCATCAATGTAAAAAAAAATTTAACGAATTTAAATAATTAATATATAAGTATGTCTATAATACAGCCATTTAAACTGAAATGGATTGTTATAAATATTTCAAATTAGAGATTGAACTAATAGTAGACTGAACAAATTTTTTTAATCGTTTCTATAATTCGTATCGTAGCCAATCGTATCAGTTCAATTAACTCGGAATTCAGGCCACTGAATGACTTTGTCTTTCCAAGTTATTTGCAGTACACAGCGACGCCTAGACGTGTTTGGACTCCATGTAAGTGCAACATGTAGTATTTTAGCATTATATAGCTTTAAACTTAGCTATTAGCATTTATACTTTTTCAATATAACGTTGATGTCGACTTGATTCGATAACCACCACAATTTTTTCATAGAAATGCTCATCAAGTTTTCAATATGTTACAGAAGCATATGCTTGTGAGTGGCTGTAATTTCTATTTCACTTTAATTGTGACAACCACAGTTAACATTTTTATTGAAGTATTAGCAATACGTAAATATTAAAAATGTTAATCATTGTTTTGATGCGCAAATAATTCGCTCGCTGGATGTTGTTGTTGTAGCCCGCTGTTGAACGACGCTTGGTCGTCTTCGACGAGTGGCTCCGAGATGTAGACCCGGCTCACTAGATGCCATATAGATTAATGTATGCTGTATGAGCTTTCTGTACACGGCTAATAACGACTCTACCGTCCGCACATACTTTATTATAAGTAAGTATATTATTATTATATATTTAATTAAGTTAAATTGATTACAAACTATAATTTATTTCACTGTTTTTGTTTGAAATTTTCGCAGTCTTAATTTTTGTGTGTTTCTATCAAAATTTTTACCCAAACTTTGCCACGCTTATCTCACTCAACTTTGCATGGACTTTATGTGAAGTAGATATGGCAATAAATAACATGCTTTTGGAGTTAAATCTGAAAATCACTTAAACACGATTGTTTAAACATACTATTAAACTATACCTAGTTTATTCTTCCTACCCATTTAAAAAGTATTTACCATTTAACGTTTTATTACGTATTGGAGATATTTATTATAAGACCTGGTTTCGCCAATTCATTATTCAACTTTTTTAGTTCAAGTTGTATATATTCACGAGTGCGAGTTAACACTACATTATCCTACACTCAATCGAGATATTCAATAGAGCATTTAAGTCCAAAACTTGTAGTACTATGTTGAAGAACAGTAGTGATAGAAACGATTCGATACTAATTAATAAATATATGTGCATATATTGATGATATAATGATCCTCATCTGTTAAAAACACGACCGTTTAAACACTGTTAATAAAGTGATCTATATATAATATATGATATATATATGATAACATATGATCAATGATATATGTATAATATATTTAATCGCTTAATTTGTAACACACCTCTGCGAAATATGGACGTTAAAGATTGTAAGCAGCTTAAAATCTTTGAAATAAAATTACTAATTAAAATTGATGGATTCATTAAGTGCGATATAAAACGTTAAAATTTGCCACAACGCTGAAAAGAAGTTGTTGACCAGTACGGTATTCAAATATATAAACCAAAGATCTGCTACAAACATATACACTTATAAAACCAAGATAATTTTTTTTTGTTTTTGTTTTGTTTTGAGAAGTTAGAATGCTTTATACACCGTCAAATCGACCATCGTCGGAATGGTGTGCCCGACTCCCTAACGTTAATATGTACTATACGAACTAAAACACCCCCTCTTCGGCGAGATTTATTCCCCCAGGGAACCGCTTTTGCATTATTTCGAGGAGGATCTTTTTTATGTTGGCATTTTAAGCCTCGTTTTTTTGGTGTCTGCATTATTTATTATTTTAGCTTAAGGTTCTCCTTTGTAGGTCTAATTTCTTTGTTTCAAAAACTTGAATCACATATGACTCTATTGTTCGCCAGCTCTCTGTGATCGCTTTCATCTTTTTTACTACCATATATTTTTGGGATTTATTGGTTCAATCTGAGCTATTAACTAAAATCATTGAGATTAATAGATCATTATGATCTATAATAGCTATATATGAGCTAGGCATGATGTTGAAGAAATTTTGTTAAAAACTTTATACGGGTTAATAACTTAACAAGGCATGAAGTAAATATACTTTTCATACATTTCTTTTAAATAGGATTAAAAATCGTTTTTTTTTTTAAATTATTTTTAATGCAATTAAATGAAAACAATGCCACGAGTAAGTGACCTTAATTATTTGTATAACCTTATGAAAGTCTGTATATTTCTCTTTGTGCTCAAGACACTAGTTTTTGGAACTTTATCACTGTCACGGCCCATAACCATATCATAGTTATAAAGCCGTGCACGCAGTATACTGTTCAATGACAATACCTGGATCACCGTCTGCATATTTTATTTTATGCCCAAGACTTCTGTTTTTGAAGTTCATTGAAAAGTTTCGTTCTAATGAACTTAATAGATATATAATACTTATTTCTGTGTAATTATTGAATATTTGGAAGAATATAATATATATCAAACTAATATTTATGTATATAACTATAATTTAATGGTAATCTAATCTCATTGGTTGTTATTTATTTTATTTGCGAAATTAGGTAGTTGAACATGAAAAAGTTCATTAACGAATTTTGTTATGTCTAAAGGTATCTTCTCCGAACAGGAAAACATGGTTATTTGTATTTTTTTTATTGTTCCTCAAATCTACAGTGCTTCATCATCAAGGATACGTTTCAACAGGTAAGTAAAAATTATTACTAAAATAATAATTGTGAAGATGTATGTAAAGAAAAAAAAAACTTTAGGTAGAATTTAGAGATTACTGAGCACTCTCTAATATAAGATTATTAATGGAGCAAATGTACTAACTGTACTTTTAAAGGTCGAAATTCCAGACAATTGTGTTTGTTGATTCAGTTTATTCTTTTGTATTGCAAATTTACATGTACTAATATTCAAAACAATTCTAAATAAGACAAAAGTACAGTAAATATGTACTTAGTGCCGCGTTTTATAAACCGGCAAAGGACGGCAACTATCTGTATAAACAAAGCAATTGGCGCACGCCTCGTAGATATTTCAACTGTACTATGCATCATATATGTGTTTACGATTTTATATTTACTGTCAAAATAAAAGATTTGTGTACTACCACAACAGCTTCTGAAAGAAATAATCTTGAAGTTTTAATGTATACTGAGTAATAGTATTATAAAGAGTGTATGTATAGAATTGTAGGTGTGTTCAAGTAACTGATAGAGATTTTCATGTAAATGAGGCAGAGCAGCGTCATCATTAACAGATATCAACCATCGGTCAGTTGATATTGTTTGTCGTTAAGTTGAAGACGTTTTGTGCTCCTGACTTCACAAGCAGTTTTTACACATATTGAAAATAAACAAATTTTTTCAATTGATATATTTTAAAAATTATGATTAAATTTATATGGAACAGTTTTGTGTATCACATATTTATAGTTTGCATTTGAAGTGTTTAACTTTCCCATAACGCATCGAAATTCAAAAATAATGTGAAAAATGGAATTGTGAATGTACATGACAGCTAATAGCTTTTAGAAAAAATTCTTTTTAATATAAAATAATTTATTTATAATACAAAAGTTTGCCGCAAACAAAATGTTGGGTAAGTTCAAAAAAACAAAACAAGAATCAATAATTCTAGAGTATATAATTTGAAGGGAAGTGCTACGCTATTAGGAAATTATATTAAATCCGTCTTTCAAAAAGAAACAGATTATTAATTAATAAATAAACAGATTATTAATCATTAAATTTTATACGAAATTCAAGTTTTCGTCTCTGCTTAATTAGAACTTAAACCTTGATATTGTTATTACAGAAAAGTCGTCGATTGTTATGAATTCTCAAGCAAGAGTAAAAATATAATTAATTTTAAAACTATATTCTACATATATTGATATCCGTTTTAAACATATCGTAATATTGAGTTTACTTTCAACTTGATTTGTTGTTTTTGACAGAAATATATTCTATATTTTTTATCATATATACACAAATAGTTTTATAAAGCGCGATTCTCACTCCATAAAGCACGAGTCTCATTCCAGAAAGCACGATTCTCACTCCATGTTACTCATGGAGTTTCATTTTCATTATTTTACATTTTTAATTCCAACTCTCACATTATGCTCTTCTGGTATATCATTAGTTAGTTTTGTTACTAATATAATTCTCTAAATTATCCTGCATATATCTTATCACAGCATTATTTATTGTACGTCCCTTTTTGGTATAATTTAAATTTTTTAATAAAAAAATGTTGATAAAAATTCTTTCTTAATTATAAGAAAAATTTTATTTTAAGATATGTATTATAATATATTAAGATAAATTGTATTTTGCTGAACATTATAATAAAATGAGTTTTTTGATTTTTGCGAGCTTAATTGTCCGACAACTACAATAAAAAATGTTTAAATTTCATTTTCGATCTTTCTAATTTTTATGACTGTTTTCCACCAAAAATACATCTAAACAAACATTTTTACATTTTATTGAGTCCAAGCATATAGATGTTTAAACTGAACTCTTCTTCTTTAATAATATTCCATAAAATTCTTCAAAATCGGTTGAGTAGTTACTGAGTATATAACTGTTTTACAAATACATAAAATTTTTTTATTACATATATATCTTTTTCTTCTTAATTCCATTATCTCCTTGTGGAGTATAGGGCCTCAGTTACGCATTTCCATCTTGTCCGAGTGTCTTCTCCATGATGTTTTGAGTTTTCCTCTTTATCGTGTATCTTGTGGGTTCCAGTCGAGTGCTTGATGGCATAGATCTGTTGGTTATTTCCGCTGAGTTTGACCGATCCATTACATCAGTATATAGAATAGTATAGTTCGAATCGTTAAACTCTAATAAAATATTTAGACATTTGTCATAAGCCGTTACTTATATAAACTTACTAACCGAGAAGTGAATATTTAAAAATATAAAAAAATATATATATATATGTACATTGAATCTATTTCTATTATTATGATAATATATATATATATATAATATATATATATATATATATATATTATATATATATATAAAGAGATTTCAGGTAAATTTACACTTTTTCTTCTTTTTTAACCAAGATCTTTATTGTTGGAGAATATAGCAAAATCTCTTTCATTGTTGACGATGATAAGTTTATATCGCACATCGGTTTCCCTCTTTCCAGGGTTTATGAAACGTTATCCTATAAAGTTAACATTTGATGCCGCATAGATCTTTTCCTTTCAGGCTTAACTTCAAAGATGCGTTTAGGAATTCTCTAGTGTGATATTTTTGACACTTCTAATACAAGTATTTTAGACATGTCTAAAAAGAGTCGAAAATTGACTTTAAAACCTATACAGGCAGAAATTTTTGGTTTCTGTGTTTTTCTTCTTTTGCTTCTATTTATTAATGCTTGCACCTAGAAGTTAATATATAAGTAGTGACATTAAAAAATATATAAAAAATGTAAGAATTTCCTTTCCAAGATTTTTAAAAAAATTGAGTTTAAGCCATTGTGATTTCCAAGTCTATTTAAGTAAATTCTTGTGGCATAGGTAATATTAAGTATAAATTAATGGATATGTGAATTAAATTAACTTACTTTTTAAATATTTGCAATTATTTGAGTGGTTTTTTTTTGGATATACGGTAGGTTGTAGTTGTTTCTCAATATATATTGGCGTACATATCATCCATATACGATGTTTTTCATGCACTTCAGTATATTGTATATATCTGAATATTTTCAATACTCTTGACTAAGAACTATAAATAAAATATTATTTATAGTTTATAGTATATTAAATAATATTTATATTTCAAAAATATAATATATATATTTATATTACATATTTTAAATAAAGTATTTAACAATAAAGCTTTTGATTAATTTCTTCCTTATATATAATTTAAGATTTTCTGCTGTTTTTAAAATATGATTTCACTTCTAAATAAAAACAATTTACTAACTTTTGTTGCAACATTGCAAAACAATTAAATTAAAAAAAAATTGTTGTAATTAAGATAAGATATAGACATTTTTAAATGTAAATTGTTTATCTCTCTGACCTATCTCTATCTGTCATCAAAATGTAAGTTATCCGTGCTTCGTAGCTAAATTTCGTCTAATAAAAAATGCCATATTTTCTTAACAGTCATAGAGTCTATGTTTTAAATAATTATGATTATAAAAATAATTATCAATATATTTTTAATATTTTATATATTCTGAAAAATATAGTCAAACGAATTTTAAAAAAATATATGTTACTTCGAATAATTTCTAAACTTTTGTCTTTTCAACAAACTTCAAAAGGTTTGCAATGTAGTGCACCAAGATCTGAATTGAAATTCTCAAATGTCTATAGGAAGGAAGCCGAAACCGCCAATTTAAAATCAACGATAACATCATCATCCGTTATAATTTCGATCGAAGCCAATGAGAGAACACCTCTATTGGCGGATCAAAATAAAAAACGAAAATCATATGGAAACAAACAATATGTACGACCAAATAAAGAACCCAGCAGTTCTACCAGTAGAAAGAATATGATATGTAACTATGAAGAGCCTTGGTTTCACAATTTTCGATTAGTTGCGTTCTGTCTTGCAGTAATTTCAAGTATCCTAATAGCTATATATCTATTAATTATACAAAGTAAGTATAGTATATAATATTTACATAATTAAATATATAAAACTTATTTAAATAAAATCAATAACATATACTTTTGATATAACACTATTTGTAAATATCTTGTAATAAAAAATATATATCTAATATTCTATCCAGCACGTTTACCAACAATCGGTTTTTCACTGGATTTAGTTAGTCGTGACATCTGGAGCAAATTATCAATGCCATTGGGTAGTTTATTGAATCATTCTAATGTCGTTAACATAATGATTGGTCACACTGGTGGTAAAAGCTGCTCAAATCCAGATAGCTGTACTCAGATTTTGAAAGAAATGCAGGTATTACTCAATAGAACTTACTTTCAGAATTTATATCAAATTATAATAAAATTGGTTAAAACTATTTCAGAATAAAGTTAATGTGATAAAAAGTGAAATGCCGTACAACTTTCTGATTGGAGGAGATGGTATTACCTACGAGGTACGTGGCTGGGATTATGAAAGTGGTTATGCTTCAGTACCACAAAATTCCACTCTCGTGATAGGGTTAATTGGTAAGAATTCGGATCAGAGAATTAATTTCTTCATTTCAACCAAAACCAATTCTATATAAAATTTATTTTTAGGTTCGTATACCAATACTGCACCCAGCGCGCTACAATTACAGTCAGCATATTCACTTATTAAAGAATCAATTAGACGTAAAAAATTGCAACGACAATATCAGATCTATGGTATAAGAAATTTAACGATTTCGGAAACAGATGGAGAAGCACTTTTTCGACATACTGCGAAATGGCCAAGGTTTGATACGCTGCTCCATATTAAGTGAAAAAAATTAACTTCCTGTATCGCTTACCATATATCATAAAACCAAAGTCACCAATAAAAAATCGCTTTCACAATTCATAAAGAATTTCGTTTGTATTTTTGAATTTTATATAGGAAGTATAAAATATACGCCCAAAATTATTATTTTACAAAATACAACATCCAAAACTTAATTACAATTTTAATACTACAAAAACATATATATATACTCGTATATTATAAATAATTTCAAAATTTTAATCGAATTCCAGTTTGCGAAAACTGCCAGCTATGGATTCTATTTGGGATACAAAGTTTGTGCCATTGCTTGCCTTTTCTGGAGTATAACTTCCTTTGCCCTGTATACCACGATCACTCAAAAGTTTGCTATTATCTATACGTAAAATCATCTCTCTTTTAGATGCCAGTTCTGCTTTCCACATTTGAATCATTGCCTTCATTGGTATTTCACCACCCAATTCACGTGGTAAGCAATGAGCGTCAACAGTCTTCACTAGATCAGCTTCAGTTGTATAAATTGTTAAGCGATCTCGTATCTTGGAACTAACACGATTTTTAACAAAATCAATCAACCATTTTAATGTGGATGGTACATTTACCAAATGAATTTCTTTGTGTCTCATCGGTAGAGATTGCTCACCCCATTTGAATACCTTAGCGAATTCCGTTGGATTCCAGTTGGTCACGTGTGCAGTCATAACTCCTGAGAAATCACCGATATGTGTGATACCGGTAATTTGGGTCTCTTGGTCTTCCATTAAACATTCATATGTGAGGAAATGTGCTTTGGCTTGATCACTACTTGTATATATTTTTGGATTGAATCCTTTGGCATTTATAATAACAACACGACGCCCATTTTTATCACGTCTTGGACTGGCGAATATGTAACCATTCGTTATAATGTCATTCATTGTGACTGATAAATGATCTAGCTCCGTGCTCATATGTGGGAAGGTACGTCTTATGTTTAGGTACTTCAAAAGCGTTTGTTCTGCCATGGGTACACTAAATTTTTTAGCACGCAAGAAACGTAATAGGAACGTGTCATCATCGCGCACATTGTGTAGATCTTTATTTTTTCTAATCCAGTTCCGAAATTGCTCTAAGCTTTGCTCGCGGGTACTCTTATCTTCACGCAGCTCACGCTTTGCAGTTTTTTGAACATTTTCAGGAATTTGTACTTCGTGCTTCATTTCGGTTTGAGTTTTTAACTGCTGGGGCGGCAGAGGGTTAAACAAATGAGGAAAGTTTGTTTAAATAGGAATAAATCTGAAATAAATAATAATAATAATTATTATAAAATGTTTAATTAAAAATTAATTTACAATTTCCAACAAAATATTAAACTTAAAGATCAAAATAAAATTTGTTTATGAATTTTATATGCATTTTATTGAAAAATATAAAACTTATTACTATTATTTATTTTTTATTATACTTATATATATTTCAATTGTTGCTTTGTTTTGTTTATTTATAATAAAAATCAGAATAATTACTATTAAGACAAATCCAATAATTAGTACTGGATTGAAACTCATTCAATTAATTTAATCCTGAAGAGCATGAAATAGTTCAAACGACATATAATCTCAACAGATTTCTACTATATAGAAAATCGTAATTTCTTTACTGACGTTTGAACTTAAATAATGATTTGTGCCAATACTGTTAATATATCTATTTCTAAGAAAACTGATGTATTACTATAATATATTGCAGCTATTATCGCTTATAGCCTATAGTTCAAAAATTTCGGAGATAGATGTCATTGGCCCTTCTAGAAGAGAGAACAAAAACTATAGGTACCGTTTAGTGAAGGTATCGTTTAATAAACATATATTATATAAATTTATATAAATACTCAATAAATGATAATTAATTCTTTGTAGAGTCTTTGCGATTTCAACAGGACATGTTCTGTTTCCTTGGGCGAGAAATATCCAAGACATTTTGGTAATGCGAATTGGCCAATTAGATCATAAAATTACCACCACCACTGAATTTTTGTTTGGGTGTTACGCAAAAGATCTTTAAAGTTTCGAAGCTTTAAGAATAAACATCCGAAATTATGATCAAGCTATTGCCAACTACGTGTCAAAAAGTATCGAAAATTAACTCAAAAGAACTAGTACAGTACTAGAAGCGCCATAAAAAATAGTTAATAGCGAAATCAGAAAACAATTTTGTATTTGTTTCCATTGACTTGCTTTTAAATTTATATGATGAGACTGTGACTGGAATATAGCAATGAAGAAATAAAGATGACTTCTCTGATGTAAACCACAAAAATCTCTTAAATTTTTTGTTTCAGATAGTATAGCATTATCTAAACATTTTTTGCATAACATTTGAAAATATGAATTTTACAAACGCTTCATGATTTTAAAGTTCAGGAACAAGTGTTCGTTTTTAAAAGAAATCAAAATAATTAAATACCATATAATCAAAATTTATTTCATAAACTTGAAGATCTGCTCAATTTTAGTCAAGTGTGTATTGGAGCAAAAGCCACCAGAACATTATAAGAAAGTTATTTGAAAAATTAAAATACCACCTGGTAAACTTAAAATATACTTTTCCGATTAATGTTACATGAAACACAAGAAAGAGTCTGTACCGAAGAAACAAACTCACAAGAGCCCATTTTTACATTATTTTATTATCTCGATTATGTTAGGTTAGATAAGGCCAATCAAGCTGGCCGTATCCTCTGTTTAGATCTATTGATCTCTGGTGAAACCAGATAGAGATACATTTTGTAGGAGTGCTTAAAGCTCTTTTCCTGGAAAAGAGTAACGCAAAGCATTTTTTTTAAACAATTTCAATATTTCAATAGAGAAATTTGAATGCAGATCATATTTGCCACTGTGCGGTACTCAATATATATAGAGTAAGTCATGATAAAAAATTTCAGTATTTTGGAAATTTAGAGCACAACTACAAACATAGCTAGGATAAAATATAGCTATTTTAATATAAAAATACAAATGAAATAAAAATTTCCAATATAAAAACATATAATTTATAATTAAACAATTCTAAAATATATACGTAACATATTGTAGTTATTATAACCATATATAAAAAAATAAAATAAGGGATATTTCAATAAAATTTTTAAAAAAGTAAAGATTTTTTTTAAAAGAGTAGAAAAGAAAAAAGTTGAAATCCGTCGACATTACACAGACATGTAACACAGTATTATAACACAGTAATAGTCAAAAACCGTCCTGCACATAAATTGGACTGAAGTGAAGGACTTTAAAGGAGCTTAATTATCTGATAGTAAGTATACACTTTCTGCTCAAAAAGTATCCGGATTTTTTTGTTTGTTCACTACTCCTTAAGTAATAGACCTTTTTCAAAAATGTTGGTACACCCTTTCTTGACATATGGTACAAATTTGAGCGCTATCTGTCAATTAGTTTGTTTACAACAGCTGTTAATGTGAGACTACCTCAAGTGCATTTAGCGATTTTTACTATGGAAAATTCTTGTTGTAAGCTACAGTAATTATCTCCGCCTGAAAACCACTGTAGCGTGCAGGAAGCCTATAATATATAGATTTATTCAGTCAACATTATACTAAATGAGTAAGTATGAACATTTATTGAAATGTTCTCTTCTTCTTGAACGAAGTTTAGCTGATCTACATTAAATATATCATGTATTATACTCGTAATATATATACCTAGAAAAAAAAGAAAAAAAACCAATGTCAATTTCTTTGGATATCGTAAAATATTAATCTATTTCAATACTAGTAGCATAATTAATTATGATACAAATAAATATTTATTACACTGATATATCAATCAATAAAAACGTCATATCAATAAAAAATATATTTTATTTTACAACAATTATCTTGAAATCTGCTAATTAATGATGTGAAAACAAATCTAAGATCATAAAAATTTAATAAAATCTATAGGCAAATACCTTTACAGCAATGGAATTAGCTCAAGTTCAAAAATATTTACCAGAAAAGCAGGTCAGCCGAACAACAGCGGAGTGTACAAAATAAATACACATATCCAGTGGCAAAACAAAAGCAGGCAGCGTAACTTAAGACAAAACTAGCCCTAGCATTTCATGAGCGTCCACTATTCGAAAATAATTAGCTGATTTCTACATAAGCACGAGCCATGACACCGACGTAAGTTCAAAGCAGCATTTATCGTCATAATTTTTGATAAAATCAAATAAAAACTTTATCTCTGCTTAATTAAAAATATTAAAATTATTTTAAATTTTATTTGAAGAATACAAGTCAGTGAGACGAGACATCGGTAATTAATATGCAAAACTCTGTTGACATGCATCGATGTCTCAAAATGATGTTGGAATGATAAGTCATGCAGATTTTGGAACTGAGGTAAAGTGACAAAAATACATTTCTTGAACTGAGAAAGTCATATAGAGATGATGTTTAAATGAACTCATTGTTGTTACTGGTGTTGTCTGCGACTAACAATTTTTTAAAAAACATAAATTGTACGATGTTTGTTAATTTACTTGGTAAAGTAAAAAATAGTTATTTTATTGTTAACGAGCCTTCGAACATGCAAAAAATCATGCCAACAATTAAGCCATAAAACCGCGAGTTCAAACTCAGGGAAATAAGAAATATGAATAAAAATATTTTTGAGATATGACTGACCATTGTCATAATGTGCCGTGTATGAAAAGGTTTGTAGATTTTTTTTTTCTCGAATGATGTATGTGACTCAAAGATTTTGTAACCACAAGACAACCTTACAATTTTTTCCACTTCATTTTAAATTTAGTATTATTTTTACATGCCAAGAGTTTTTTGCCTTTGTTACACTTTAGCCAAACCCAGCAATTTTCTGCTTTTGTGGAACAAGTTATTTTTAATGTTAATTAAACTTTAATGAAATTATTATTTCAGCGAACGATTTTGCAATTCATTTAAAAACACATTAATAAACAATATGTAATTACCAAAAAATTAGATTCACATAATATTTTACTAAGTTTAATAATATTTTCAACACTACCTATTAGGAAAGTCCACAATTCAACATCTTAGACTCACGTGACCAAATTACCACGGAGTTCAATGAGTAGAAAGATATTGTAGTATGATCTAATGCAAGCAAAGTATATAGTGTTTCTGGTATTGCATTATTAACATGCATTTCATAGGTTTTTAATTCTTTTATTTAAAATAAAATTTTACTGAACATAATAAAAAAGTTAATTGTTTAACCGAATGACTAATATATTGTTTATTATAATTTTATTTGTGGTATTTACTAGTTATTTGAAAACCTAGGAATAAACGGGGTACTAGCTCCCGACAGAGCAAAGCACTGCGACCAGTTTGATCTTTTATGTTAAAACCTAGCAATGTTAAAAAATATTTTGTTGGCCAGAAATTCAAAATTAAATTAGAAAACTGTAGAATGGGTGCTACCACCTTGCGTTATAAATAGGGTTTAGTCGACGTGTTAAATCATACAATGATGCCGGCGAAGGTATAGCTACTAATATAATCACATTTGCCGATGAGATTGTAAAGGAATGTTTAAGCTAAAAATATACTACAACTTGATAGTCAACGACGACGAATACATGACTATTAAAAGCAGAAGAACTAGTCATTCAAGCACTTGTGAAGGTATTTTCAGCAGCGAGTACCCTTATAAATGGGCCAGCATATGAGACTAGTCTAAAGTCTTGTATACTAATCCGTCTTTCTAGTAGAAAGATATTATGATCTAATGTAAGCAAGGTATATAGCTCTTCTCCTGTTGCATTGTTAATATGCATTTTATAGGCTTTAAATTATTTAATTTAAAATAAAATTTTACTGAACATAATATAAAAGTTAATTGTTATACCAAATGACTAAAATACATTGTTTATTATAATATATAATTATACTCGTATTTGGTAGCCATTTAAAAAACTTAATAATGATAAAAAATATTTGATTTGTAAAAATGTTGAAATTAAATTAGAAAATTACAAAACGTTATCCGTTTTGTACCACCTTACATTATTAAAAGGGTTTAGTAGATGTATAAAACCATAGAATGATCGCCGGTTAGATTGTAGACAAATAGCTAAGCCAAATATATCCTGTAGCTTAGTAGTCTACGGCAACGAGTACGTGATTATTAAAATCAGAACCAAAACCAGTCACTCAATATATGTCTATTTACATAGTTAAAGTGGCTTCATGCGGTTATTTGATTTGCAGCAACATGTGAGACGTGGGAGATCTAAAGTCTTGTATACTAATTAATCTTTCTATAATGCATTTATGGATTGCGTTGGGTCGTAACTCGACTATAAAATTTCTTATACTCCTAATATCAAATCGACAGTCT